AACATTTGAAAAAAAATAGTTAAGAGGTGTCGAAACCTCTATCCTAACCAACCAAGGAAGCTGATGCAGCGAAGGGAGAAGAATTGAAAGTGTTATGTGAGTTGGTATCGACGACGTTGTCAATGAGTACTTCTTAGAAAAACAGTGACTGCTGGGTAGCCGTGCAAAACCAGATTGTGACTCGCAAAATGCCTTTTGATTGCGCGCAGGGAAGTAATCCACCCAGCATCCTTAAAATACTTCGTGTGGTCGTCCGGATGTAAATATGACAACTGCGGAGGTTGGGTAAAGCGCAAATCAACGTATCTAGCACGCCCCAGTCGATATCCCCGGGATATGAGGGGACATGCATATCGAGGTTGAGATGTAGCTTGATGGTATTGATTCGACTGCAAGGCGGGATACGTCCAAGACACTTGATGAGCCAAGGGAATCCATTATCAGCGAGGTTGGTCGAGATCCTTAAGCATTCGAGGTACGAAGGAATGCTCAAGTCCAGAGTAGAAGAGTCAAAATCATGACGTCGTGCTTTGGGCATTATCAGAAATGGAAATCGTCAACTTCATGTAGTGCTTACCATGTCGAGGCCGAAAATAGTGCAGGCACTTGAGAGAACCAGCCACTTTTCGCAGAAATGCCTCTGTCTCCTTTATCAGCGAGGGCCACGTTCGATCCATTTCGACGCGAAGTGATGTTAATTGGGAAAGGTCGACCGACTCAGGGTCACGCGTAAAACGAAAGACCTTGCCGCCCGACAATGGAGTGGTCTCCCTGAGCTCGAGACTTTTCAGCGCCATTTTTTGAACTGGTGGAGAAGGCTTGAATGGCAGAACTCGCTCCCAAGCCTCCAAATCAAAAACTCTCAAATGCTTCAACGCATGGGAATCGACCAACAACTGCAAATGGAAATCAGCAATGGTGTCGAGAATTTCAACCCGAACCACCGTCGGACAGCGGATTGATTCTAGAATCGCGGTTTGCATGTTGGAAGGCAGATTCGCCCATTTGATTTTCGAGACGCGCCTTCTGAAGATTATTGCGGAGAGGTGTTTAAAAGAAGACAGAATGTGGATAAACGCATCGTCCCCTTGCATGGTGAAAGCATTCATCTGTCTCGTATACCCGTCATCTGTGATATTCAGCCGTCGCACATAATCAAGGAGATGAGGAGATTCTGCAAGGTGCTCCAAAAGCACCTCTGCCGAACCGAAATTCGGTTGTTCAATGCCTGATGGAATGCTAAGGGACACCTCGTAGAAAATCTTCCTCTGGGCTAGAGAGCGGAAAGTAGACGACACTGTGGAAACGCTCTGGAGGGTGGTAAAGTCGCGATGAAGGCAGCCGACGATAGTGTCGAAGAGCTCTAGAGGAAGCTGGCCTTTCATGATGGAAGGCACGAAGGAGGGTATCTGAGTTGAAGATTGAGAACAAATGATTGATTCTGAAAATCAGTGATTGAAACCAGGGGGCCGTCATTGGAGAAATCCGTGAGATCGACTGTGAGAGAAAGCACGTGCATTCTGAAAGGCAGCTGCACTCGCCTGCACCGCGCTATCCAACCACATATTGATTTCTTTTTCAGCTGCGCCGGAGCAGACGCTCTGACCGATACACGGCCATTATCAAGCCTTTATTTAAGTATAAAATCTACCATTTTGCAAACTCTGCAGACGTGCGCAATTGGTGCGCAAGTTGCGCAACTACGTTAAATATCCCACTCAGTTACTATATGTACGAATGAAAGACGGCATTTATCCTACAACCACAATAGATATAGACACCGGAATTCACCAGGTTGAATGTCGTCTGCCAGGAGGAGATCACATTGACACAACCGCATTTCACCTCTCCTCTTTACCCGCACCACCCGAGCACCTGGTCCATTTGCTAGCATACTTATCCTTCCGACCCCATCTTTGCGCTTTCAGAAAAAGCCTTGCCATGATTTGTTATCGCGTTTCGGACTCTTGAGGGATGTCCCATTTGGAACACACGTGCTTTCTCCCACGACCTGACTGTACCAGTCGATTTCACGGATTTCTCCGATGACGGCCCCCTGAACATGTATGTAAACGGATCAGACGTGGGAATAGCCCTACCCCTAAGGTATCACCAGAATCTAGTAGTCAGAGACAGAAGTTGGGCAGAAGTTATGTAGCTGCTAGCCAAGCTAAGGATCAAACTTGAAACGGTGGCCAATCTGGATGGTCCGAACGAAGTCATCGACGGGTAATGTGGGCAAAACCAATACTTGACCAATACGTTACTCGTAAAATCCCTCCTGATTGGGTGAAGGGAAGCCTTATTCCAGCCAATACTTTTGGAGCTGATCTTGTGAGGGACCGAATATAGATGTCGCAACTGTGGAGGCAGTTTAAACTGCAAATCCAGGCATCTAGCATTGTCCAGTCGAGATTACCGAAGTGGCCTGGGGTGACCTTTGGTTCATAAGAGATACTGAAATATATCCTGATCGTTTTCAGTCGGCTGGTCGGTGGAATTCGACGTAGAGCATTGATTAGTCTTGTAGGAGGTCCACTGAGTTGAAGAGTATATAGGCAGTGGAGGGAGATTCTCAAGCATTCGAGGTTCGAGGGAATGCTCAAATCAACATCGTTTACTGCGTCAGAAGACCCAGGTAGAAAGTAAGTAATGGAAAGACTTTAGAGACCCAGCCACGTTTTGCAGAAGTTTCTCAATCTCTTCCCTCCACCAGTCGGATGCGCGTAGTCCACGCCCTCTGATAAAGAGGTATTCTAAGCTGGAAAGGTCGATTAACTGGGAGTCATGAAAACGAGTGAAAATCGCTGGGCCAAAGAAAGAAGCAAAGCCTCCAAGTTCGAGACGTTTCAGCGCCATTGGATGATTTGTGAAAGAAGTAGGCAGGAGATGAGTGTGACGGCCCACGTCAAAGACTCTCAGATACTCCAATCCGCGGGATTTGAGTAACAGACGCGGGATTGGAGTAACAGAAAGGAAAATCCTGTATGGTGTTGAAGATCTCGATTCGCGTCACCGTCGGACGTTGAAGTGCATTTAGGATCGTGGATGGCATCCGCGGAGGCATGCTTTGCCATAAAATTGGGTTGCAAGAAAAAACTTGTCTGAAAGTTATTGCGGTGAGTTGTTGGGATGAAGAGAGGACATGGATGAACGCGTCATCCCATGATGCCATGGAAGGATCCATTCGTAATGATGCGTCATCTATTATATCCAGGTGTCGCACATAATCGACAAGGTGGGGAGATTCGCGGAGGAGCTCGAAAAGCACCTTTGCCCAACGGAAGGGTGGATCTTCATGTTTGAATCCAATCAACATTGGTGGGATGGTTAATGAGACCTTCCTCTGCGCGAGATGGCGGAAGGTTGTAGGCACTATTGAACAACTTTGAAGTGCGGCCGAGTAGTGAAGGCAATCGAATATCGTGGCGAAGAGCTCTAGAGGCAGTTGGGTGCACATGGTGGAACGAAACAAAGGAGTGTTTGTCAGATGATGGCATCTGGAACAAAGGTAATTACCGTGCACCGGATACTGGGGACAAAGCAAGGACTTGAAGGACAAAGACATGCTAGGCCAGGACTTGGACTCTTGGTGCGACATGGCTAGGCAGGCGAACTGTGCCAGCTTTCATTATTGCACGGTTTCGTCTTATCTATTTCAAGTTATCACCAGCGGTCGTCGTGCATCTTGAGTTCAAGTAGGTTGGAGTCGGACGCTTGTCCAGTGAAGCCAATATTTCAGTCTCCGTGCCGCTCTCCTCCCTCGTCCCATAAACCTTAGCATACTTAGTAGATGTCGAGACCTTTGTCTTTCTTCAGGCAAATCAAACTCAATTTTAACGAGGCGTCGACAAGAAACTGACATTAACCAGAAATCGCTCATCATCCCTCCCGATCACGATTCAACAGCTGACAGGCTCCCTCCGTTGTCCTCAAACTTCGAAAAAACTAGTGAAGAGGCGTTGAAACCTCTACCCTAATCAACCAAGGAGGCTGATGCAGCGAAGGGAGAAGAAATGAAAGTGTTATGTGAGTTGGTATCGACGACGTTGTCAATGGGGTACTTCTTAGAAAAACAGTGACTGCTGGGTAGCCGTGCAAATCCAGATCGTGATTCGCAAGATGCCTTTTGATTGGGCGGAGGGAAGTAATCCACCCAGCAATCTTAAAATACTTCGTGTGGTCGTCCGAATGTAAATATGACAACTGCGGAGGTTGTGTAAAGTGCAAATCAACGTATCTAGCACTGCCCAGTCGATATCCCCAGTATATGAGGGGACATGCATATCGAGGTTGAGATGTAGCTTGATGGTATTGATTCGACTGCAAGGCGGGATACGTCCAAGACACTTGATGAGCCAAGGGAATCCATTATTTGCAAGGTTGGTGGAGATCCTGAAGCATTTGAGGTGCGATGGAATGCTCAAGTCGAGAGTACTAGAAGAGTCAAAATTGTGACGTCGTGCTTTGAGCATTATCAGAGATGCAAATCGTCAACTTCATGTAGTGCTTACCATACCGAGGCCGAAAATAGTGCAGGCACTTGAGAGAATCAGACACTTTTCGCAGAAATGCATCCGTCTCCTTTATCAGCGAGGGCCACATTGGGTCCATTTCGACGCGAAGTGATGTCAATTGGGAAAGGTCGACCGACTCAGGGTCACACATAAAACGAAAGATCTTCCCGCCCGAAAATGGAGTGGTCTCCCTGAGCTCGAGACTTTTCAGCGCCATTTTTTGAACTGGTGGAGAAGTCTTGGATGGGGGAACTCGCGGCCAATCCAAGTCAAAAACTCTCAAATGCTCCAACGCATGGGAATCAACCAATAACTGCAAATGGAAATCCTCAATGGTGTCAAGGATTTCAACCCGGACTACTGTCAAACAGCGGAGTGATTCCAGAATCGCGGTTTGCATGTTGAGAGGCAGATTTGTCCATATGATTTTTGAGACGCCGTTTGATCGCCTTCTGAAGATTATCGCGGAGAGGTATTTGAAAGAAGACAGAATGTGGATGAACGCATCGTCCCCTTGCATAGTGAACGCGTTCATCTCCCTTGTATATCCGTCATCCGTGATATTCAGCCGTCGCACATAATCAACGAGATGAGGAGATTCTGCAAGATGCTCCAAAAGCACCTCTGCCGAACCGGAATTTGGTTGTTCAGTGCTTGATGGGATGCTAAGGGACACCTCGTAGAAAATCTTCCTCTGGGCTAGCGAGCGGAAAGTTGAAGACACTGTGGAAACGCTCTGGAGGGTGGCAAAGTCGCGATGAAGGCAGTCGACGATAGCGTCGAAGAGCTCTAGAGGTAGCCTGGTTTTCATGATGGAAGGCAGGAAGGAAGGAAGAGAACAAGAACACTCACGTGATAGGGAACGAGAAGCGAGATCTCAGCTTGATTGCAGCTAGACCGGTGACCGTTCTGTATATGAGAAGTGTATATCGAAGTTCTCATATACAGGCTGGTCACAGCCTAGATTGCAGCAGCACAATGCACCAATCCATGCAAGTTATAATTATAATCCACCCAACAAAAATGAATGAAGCAGACCATGACCCGTCGACCAATAGAAGATACTAAATACACCACCCAAGCGCAGCCCCAATCTCTCTGACACCCCTATGCTCCGAGAGCTCCAACGCCAAAGCCAATGCATCCCTCTCCCTCTCCTTCCTCCCCTGCATCCCATAAGCCTTGGCCAAAAAGTACCACGCCTCCGGAACGTCCCACCCCCTGCCCTTCGTCAAGTACCCCAGCAAACTAGCCGCAAGATCCATGTTCGTCGAGCTGTGATCCTCACTTTTGGGCACCGAAACCGATGAACGTCGATTCTCATTTGGAGTGAGGTAGAGACGCCCAAGGTGAACGGTGGCAGAGACATCATATGGACTGATAAACAAAGCCTTTTGCAAAGCGTCGATGGCATGCTGGTGGTGTCCAAGCGCAACGTAGTAAAGCGCAAGCTACCGAAAACATTAGCGAATTAATATACAAGGACGGAAGACTAATACCTGAACCCAAACTGCAGGATTATTCTCATCCCGCACTTCAGCTTCCTGAATAGCCCCCTTCGCTTGCTCAATTTTACCCAGCCGTCGGAAAGTGGCTGCTGACATTAACCACAAATCACTCAGCATTCTCTTCTCCTTTGCCAGCCGGCTATTCAGCTTGACATCGGGCGGGGGAGGGACAGCTTGAGGTGGTGGTGGTGGAGGTGGAGGAGACTCGGAAGGTGTCCCATCCTGCGATTGAACAATAGAGCTTAGCCGCCTGCGAGAATGGATCGAAGAGGCTTGATACGACGTCTGTCGTAAGACAGCATGGAAATCTGGTTTCAAGACATTAACGTGTTATTATGAAGGACGATGAAAGTCAAACCTACCAGGCGTTGAAGTCGACCTCCGCAAACTCCCATTCCTCACAACCCCACTGCCAATCTTCCGAGAGACAGCGGTCAGCCTCGCACCGCTCTTATGTACGCCCCTCACACCGCTCTTCAGCATCTGGTTGATTTTCTTTGTCGACTTTGAGCCCTCTCTATCCCTCTCAAACGAGGACGACGATTTCGCAAGCAGGCTGCTCTTTTTCACAAGCGTATGATGACTGTGCTTCTTATCAGCTCCCCTCTTTTCTTTTTCTCGAGTAGGCGAACCCTCGCCTGGCTCTGCCGTTTCTATAATGGGCGTAGCAGGCGAAATCATGATGGGAATCGGGGGAGGGGGAAGCTCGTTGGGAGGGTTGTCGCCATTCGCCATGGCGTGCTTTTCCTGATCTTGCGGGAGAACATTCATGTCCAAAGTTGGCCCTGGACCATCGATGGACGACCTGGGTATTGCTGCCGTACGACATTAGCATCTTCGGGCACATGAGAAAGACAAAACATACACTCGCAAACCAACCCTTTCTTCTCAGCAATCCAAGCGAAAACTTCAAGCCACTGTTGCTCCGCGCCTTCTGCCCCTTCCCTCACTTCCGTCAACGCAACCTGGGTCATGCGCAATTGTAGAGAATACTCAAAGATATTGTGTTCCGAGGGTATTGGCACTCTGAGGATAGACTTGAACAACCCAGCCGCAGGTGGGATCTCCAACACATCTTCATCCAAAATAGGGAGAAATTGGCGAGTTTCATCAGTCGTTTCGTCCTTGTTAACAACACCGTTCTGCTGTTGTTGCCGCCCATTCGGAGCGACAAACACCCCAGACGCGTTCCCATTCGGCACAGAATCCGACGAGAGTACCTCCCCACCCTTCACAGTCCTCACATCACTCTCCCGATCCACATCCCCATTTACCCGTGCCTCCCCCTTTTCTCGCTCACAAGAGTAAGAATCATCCAGCTCTGCCCCATGCTCCAGAATCTCAACCGCCTCTACCCATTTCTCCACAGCCGTCAGGAGGAGACCTAAAAGATGCCAGTACCGTACTTCAGTGGGGTCAGCTTCAACAGCCATACCAGCTTGTTCGATCGCCTGTTCCATGTCCCGATGCGGGCCCGGGCGCGAGAACGATATAGCTAGGTGGTAGTGGCCAGAAGAAGTCGGATGAAGCTCAACGGATTTCAAAAGATGAGCATGCGCTTCTGCAACACGCTGTGAACGGGTGTACGGGTCTTCCTCTATCAGCGGCATTTGTCGTCAATCAAAAAGCTTTCCGCCGCAGGGAGAGACAATGGCCTACCTTTGATAGCTAACAACGACTTGATGATCCCCTCCGCTTGTTCGATACTGGCCCTTAATCGGACATTATCTTTATCAAGCCTCGTCCGCGCTTTCTCGAGCACAGTGCCAGCCTCTTTGACATCCTCGAGACCTTCCACTCCAAGCAGCGCCGAGGCATGTCGACATAACATCCTCGCCCCAAAGACGAGCGTTTCCACCCAGTTATCGTCCGTGTCGATGTCCTCTGCGATATCTTGATTGCTCGCCTCGTAAGATTTGCCGACAACTTGTATGTACAGTCGTAGTGTACGCTTCGCTAGCGGGACATCTCCTGAGAGGTACAACAGACGTGTCATGTGTCGAAGGATTCGCGAGGAGTTAAAGGTCAACCGCGTAGCCCACCACAGAATCTTGGGAAATTTAGTGAGCATATGCATGGAAAGCAACAAGAGGTAAACTTACATCTAGAACCCAGCCTGCATGTTCACCAACAGCTCCACTCCCTTCCCAAACAGCGACGCATAAATCCACAAACTCCTCCACTCTGACGTTGCGCTCTCCAGCACGAGGAAACTTCGTGCACATGGACAAAATCGCGCGGTAATCCTGAATAACAGATCGCGCAGTGTGCACCCACGCCGCCGACTTGCGTAAATGCAATGGCGAAGGAGCCAGACAACCATGCCTCAAAATCAACGCACGCAGGTGAATAGTCGAGACTGTCGACCGATGGGAGGTGCGAAACGTAGGCGGCCAGCACGTACTTGTCGTGTTGTAATGATTCAACCACGCCCACAGCGACTCCTGGTCTCCATGACGTGAACTCAATACGACCCCTCTCCAGATCAACCGCTCCACCCATCTCCACAGCTCGCGCAGCTGGACAAAAGATGTCCAATCGGGTTTTCCGGTGGAGCTGGGAGTGGATATTGTAGCATACTCTGTCTGCAGTGTGGCGAAGAGGGGTATCGCTTCCCGGTAAGCTTTAAGTGCTTTCTGGGCTTCTGTGGGGTAGAGCTGTTCGTGCGACATGCCTGATAATTGGTGAGACCGTGTCGTTAAAGAGAGAGAGGGCAATACCGTGTAAACATATGCTCCTAAACGTTTCTGTCATCGCCCAGCCTCTGCCATCTTTGACCTCTGGAACCGTCATATCGGCGAACGACACGAAGCTACCGCTCGCCGAAGTAGCGATCGATTGTGAACCCGCGCCGGGGACAGTAAGCATGGTCGTACTCGATCCGAATGAGCCAACGATTGGGACGGTCTGGTACAGATTTGAAATCTTGGAGAGGTGGGAGATACAATCTGAGGGGTTGCCCAGTGCATACGCGTAGTACGCCAACGCTAGGTTGATAGTCTATATTGATACATAATAGAATTTAGCCCATTAATACCCATATTCCGAAAAACTCACGTCAAAATTGGACGTCTCCAAAGTCTTGAGAGTTTCATACCCCGAAGTGGCCTCCCCCACTCTCTCCTCTGGCAAAATACACTCCCCATCCAACTGAAGCTGAAAAAGCTCAACGTCCGACTCCCGGTCTTCATCTTCGTTCAACGAAGAAGCCGAGAGCAACAGCGCAAGTCCCTGTGTTTGCGACGCGACTTCGGCGACGTCCTTGAAACCCTTGCAATGTTTGTTGAACTTTCTCAATAGCTCAGACCAGGACAACGGAGCGCCATGGGGAGTCTTTGCTGGGTGTTGTGCAAGCCATTGGCCACCAGTAAGAGCAGCTCTGAGCTGGGACCAGTAATGTCGGTCTTTTACGCTCGTCATGCGGCGGCGAGGAGGAGACGTGTGACATCAGTCACCAGTTGGTCACAACTCTAGTTTTGGCTCCTCAGCTCAACGACTCGGCAAGGGGGCCCAAGGACCTTAAAAATTACACGGGGTCGGTAAATTTTTTTAAGCCATGGGACGTGACCACCCCCCCACCCCTCCTTCCTAAAATGGAAATGTCAGACCGAAAAAGGCAACTACAAAAAAAAACATACCGCATTTTTGGTTTTCAAGAGGCAGGATGAAGCGCAAAAATATATCAGTGTGTCTATATAAGTCACAAAAAGGCATTTCAGTTCTCATTTGGTTAAAATTCAAAGATGCACTATAGTGCGATGTTCGGCCAGTCACGTGTTATTTGGCATAAATGAAGAAAAGAATTAAAAAAATATTAGCTATGAGTCAGAAATGTGTTTGTAGAGTGTGTAAAGCACATTAGAATAGCTGACGAGAAACTGAGAGTGAAATTGATGGCCATTCGGCCAGTTTTTGGCCTGAGTAGCAAATTTTTTTAAGAGCTCGAGGACCCACCCCCCTCCCCAAACCCCGGTCCGGCATTCAGATCCCTGGACCCCCTTGCGACTCGGACTTGTCAACGACGAAGAGCACGATGCGCAAACTTCCCTTTAACGACGACATAAAAATTACCTCGCAAGAACTGTCCGATGTCTAAGTTTCAAGCTCCTAGAACGACATTTACAGCCATGTGCAGAACATAGGGCGCGGCATGATTTTTTTTTTTTCGCCAAATAAACAAACGGATTTATGTAGTTGTAAAGTATTGTCTATGTAGCATGCTCAAAAGTGGTCCATTCAGCTTGAAAATAGAACCATTCGACGCAGATTTTGAATCTGCATCTGAGAGTATATAAATTTCCACTGCGAGGAGAGAATGAATGTGTAATTATGTACATGACAAGACTGCAAGAACGACGTTGACGTGGCAGCCTCCAGCCTCAATTCTTGTCCGCCCTGTCTGCCTGTTGACCTTTATATACATTCGTCAAGCTGCCGCCCCCTTCAATCCACCGAAATCATGTCACGGGTTGCAGGGCATGAATGGGACGGGCCACGTCCGGCCTTCCAGAAACATTGATCAAGCAGGATAAAGCACCAATAAGCTTACAATAATTCCCCCTCCTCCGGAAACTTGACCTGAAGGTCTGAGCTGCCCAAAAGACGCAACGGGCGGAGGGGGAACGTTGAGTTGTGGATGCTGTGTATCGAACGTCGCAGATGATCGTTTCCGACGATGCAGTGATTATTTCTTGCGGTCGATGGAACATGGGTACATCGACGTGTGCAGATTTGAAATCGGCGTCGAATGAATCCAATTTCAAGCTGAATGGACCACTTTTGAGCGTGCTACATAGACAATACTTCACAACTACATAAATCCGTTTGTTTATTTGGCGAAAAAAAAATAATCATGCCGCGCCCTATGTTCCGCACATGGCTGTAAACACAACAAATCTGAAACTGACTCCTTTCCAGACACCGCTCTTGCTGTTGAGTATGGCACCTATAACGTGAGTCTGAACGTTTGACGCAATGAATGCAACTCAGCATAGGATTTTGCTCGTAGAGCGGAAGTCTACAGATTTGATGATACATATTTTGAAAGTACCAGGCCGCCATCAAGAGAAGGCTTCACGTTCGAATCCCAGCATGGCATCGATTTGAATAAAATTCCTCTTAATCTCAAAGTGGGAGAATACTGGGTATACAATCCGCTCGTTTCTCCTTGGTTGAAGCTTATCTCCTCTGGCCCTCAATGCCCCTCATAGATAATAACTAAAGGTGACCCGTGGCGTCTTTGGAAAAACACAAAATGGGAAGTAATCGACAACTCGGTTGTGATGTATCGTGCGCACTGCATGAATTTTTACCTCACATCCGAATCGGCTCATATCTTGTCAATGGGAGAAATCATTGAAAGGGGGCTCCTGACTTGGGAAGAAGACTGGCCGCATCCTTTGCTCATGGTAATCAGTATGTCAACCTCAAAATATGGCACCCTCTACGCAATTACTCAACAAATTTAGGTACAAACAACCTAGTTTATACGCTTTGCCGCCCTTGGCAGATGTCTATAAAGGAGGAACTTGGTCGTTGGTCACATGTCGCATGGGTCCGCCTCCGCCAAATAGTAACAGGTTCAAAGAAATTTCAAGTCGGCTTTCTGGACTACAATTATACACCCAATCTTTTCAAACATATCAATACATCGCCAGAGGATATTGAACATACATATCCCCCTGGCAGCCCGGTTTTTACTATGGCTAGCTCAAGTCATCTGTCATCTACTTCCCAGCCTGTCGACTTCGAGGAAGAAAGGGATGGATATCTGGCTGCAACTACACAGGTGAGGACATTTAGGGTTTGGCAATTCCAGTAGTCTGGCGGATTGGTGGTCTGTCATGCCAAAACTTGTAGCATGGCTAAACAAGCTTTCCTGAGTCTCTCCTCATTCTGTTGAAACTCATTTGTATATAACCATGGTATCTATCGGTTTAAAATTCAAAAGGCACGAGAGAGCTCAAAAGGGAGTGATTGCCATGTTTACTATCAAATAATTCTTGGCCATCCCCAACAACAACGGTGATCGTCATGGGATGAAGACGATCATAGCTGGTGGGACCAATATCACAAATCACAGGCTACCACGCCAGCAGAATGGGGACAGCTTCTACAAATGATGTATCCTCCAGAATGGAGGTTGGGGGCGCAAAACGAATGACAGTATCGCGTGAATGGAGATGTAGATTCAGTACCTGCAGTGGAGAATACAAAGAATAAGTATTAAAAGTGCGAAAGCATGAACTCGGGAGCGAGAATAATCGGATGAGCCAACTCTAGAAGCAAGCAAGGCTGAATATAGTATAGTATAACGGCAATGGGGGAATCGCATCCACGCAGCTCAAGCCGCCTACGCCATACTCATAGCCATCTGGTTAAGCTGCGCAGCCATGGATGGGTAGTTCTTCAAGAACTCCATCTGTGACAACGTCGCCTGAAAAAAAAAAAAAAAGTCAGACATAGCAAGGAAGAGAGGAAGGAATGATAACTCACGTATTTGAAAGTCAACGCACTGACCAACTCAGGCTCGCTCCTCGCCAGCTCTGCCTGCCTACTGAACATCTTCACTGCATCCCCAACCTTACTCTGCTGCAAACTGAGTTGCGCAAATGTAGCCACGGCGGCCTCGCATTCAGGATCGATTTCGAGAGCTTCTTCACAACATTTCTCGGCGGCAGTGATGTCTTGTTTCCATTGGTACAGAGCGAGGCCTTTGTTCACTAAAGGTAGGACGTTGGGGATTGTTCCGACCCTGTGAAGCATTAGAGTCGAATAATCATGACCAGACAGGAACATACTTTTGCTTTTCCATCTCAAACGCCTTATCAAACTTCTCCACGGCGTCCTCGAATCGTTGTTGGTCCATCAACAGCTCGCCGCTAGGCACCCCACGTTAGTCTGAAGTCAATAAAATACTAATGATATGCACGTACTAATAATTTTGGGGCTCACTCCGTTGAGGGAACGCTACCAATGTCCTCCTAAAGGTGGCCATACTATTCGAAAGATGATCAGACTTGTACTGCGCCACAGCGAGCTGGATGTGGCTGAACACAAATTGATCATCCAATTCCGTGGACTTGGTGTAATTCGTAGCAGCATTGGCGAAATCGTTCATGATGAACAGAACTATTTCAAAAAAAATCAGGTGAATTGAGACACAGTTAGGAAAAGACGATGCGTACCTTGTCCCCGGTGGTAATAGATATCAGGATCATTCGGGTTCTGCTTGATAGCATCGTCAAAGCACTCGAACGCCAACTTAGGATTTCCCTGCTCCATGTGCACGCTGGCAATCTTCACAATGCTCTGTGTAAATGAAGGAACGAGTTTGATGGATTCTGTAAGGTCCACTTTGGCGCCCTCCACGTCTCCTACGAGGAATCTGTGGTACAGCCATATGAGTGGCAGCAGAGGAGAGGAAAAGGCATCAAACGCACTTGAAAGTGCCACGGAGGTTCAATGCCTCAGCTTTGCCCTCGTCCCATGAAATACCCTGCTCCAACGACTCGTTGATCAACGTCACGGCATGTGGATAGTCAGCAGCAGCAAGGGCTTCGAGGGCGAGGATAAGCGTGTTGTCTCCTGTTGATGGGTTTTCGGGAAGTGTGGGATGAGCTCCTGCATCAAGTGGTGAGCGATTGAGAAGACAGTTCGAAAGAGTATACGTACGAGGTCGGAAGGCGGCGAAGTATGCGGAGATAAAGGTAAAGGATGGTAACCGCGCCCCACGGGTCTGTTATAAGTTCAATGGGATGACGAAAAGACCAAAAATGCTCGACGTACAGCGATAATCTCAGCGGCCTTTTTCGCCGCAAGAGCTTTAAGGACGCGCTCAACGGCACTGGCGGTTGCCTGGTTTTGGAATTTGTCAAGGATAGTGGCCGCAGTGAAGTCTAAGTAAGAAAGTTTCAGAAAACACGGAGGTAACCAAACGAACGCGACGAACCTCTGACGGCCTCCTCGTACCGCTCAAGCCCTTCCAAAGCGATCGCGCGTCGGTTGAGGGCCTTGACGTAGTTGGCATCAAGTTTGAGTGCCTCGTCGCAGTCTAGCACGACCAAGTCGTGTTTTGGAGGTGACATGTTCACGTAGCCTGTACAAAACGGAGATGTCAAAAGGGCCAACGGAATATGGCGGACAAACATACATGCCGCACGATTACTATAGAAAACGGGTTCGGGTTTTGGCGACACCTCTATAGCTCGAGTATACAGATCGGCCGCTTGCGTAAAGTTGCGATTTTGGTAGGCAGTGTTGCCTTTTGTCTTTAATGACGCTGCCATTTTTGTGCGCTCCTGAAAAAAATATGCCATAAGTTCGGCGACACAACTGTTCTGACGAGGCAGAAGTCTGACCTCCTCTGGCATAGCAAGGATTTGCTCAGCCGTCAACGACTCCTCTATCCGCACATATCTCCACGTAAATACCAACGGAAGACCCTACAAAATGACGGAACGAACCTGACACCTCCTCAACCTTCGGCGGAGGGACCCTCTCCTCCAATATTGGTCCGTCCTGGTCCTTCACGCCTTTCTTCTTCTTCCCATGACTACCTTTACCGTGACTTGCCTTCTTCTTTTCCCTCTTCTCCGCCTTCTCTACATCCCCAGGTCCCCTCGGCCGTGAAGACGTTGAGGCATAATAAGCAGCAGCACCCCCAGCAGCAAGGGCAAGGGCAGCAGTGCCGATGATAATGGCGCACTTGTTCTCGGACACAAAGTCCTGCACGCGCTCGACAATACCGCCAGTTTGTTCCGAGGCCATTGTATGGAGTGAGAAGGGGTCACGTCGACAGCACGAAACTACAATTTTTGATTCCCAACTCGGGAAGTTCCCACGCGAGCCGCCACTTCCCTCCCAAGGGCTAAATTTCAAGAGAAGAATATTAATAGAGGCAGAAACCAATATTATTCAGGTTGTAGGTGATCATCTTGATACCCTCTAGCTATACCGCTTCTTCCCTGCTCAAGAATGCTAGGGGCATCCTCCCCAAGCCGCACCTCCAGACCCTGATAACTGCGTTGTTGCAAAAATTGTCCTAAAAGCCGAGGGTTAGTGGTAGCTTATAGAACTGGAAGGTAGAAATATGTACCGGCAGCACTGTCAGCAAGTTTTGTGAGGGAGTTGTCCTGATTCCGCAGGATAACAGCGGCCGAGTTTTCTGATGCAGAGCCAAAATTTGAGGGCTTTGCTACAGGTTCAATGTTGAACATGAGAAGCGGCAAGTCAATAGAACGTAAAGTCCTTACCACCATAACGTTTTGGATGACGATAACTTCCAGTAATGAGGGAGAACACCGGTTGATCAGGATCCTCAGATTCATCTTCCTCAGCCCCAGAGACTACACCATCTTCAACAAAATCATATCAGCGATTAAGAATGGATGGAAGAGGGAAGAATCCGTACCCAGTTGCACATAGTCAGCGAGTAGTTTCTCAAAGTCGAGAACATATCGTCCCGTCCAACTTTGTTCAGCCTGAAGAGCAACCTCCAACTCATACGGAGTCACTATTGGTCGCAAGAAGTCCTATACAAAACACTCAGCAAGGGAGGTGCGACTCGAGGCAAAGAGGTGAACCTTCGCTTCGACGAGACTGTTCTCCGGACATGCAACAAGCACAAAACATCCAATCTCCATGAAATTGGCCAGTTTCGCTGGGTTAAGTTTGCCAACGCTAATGGTGTAGCTCTTCTTTTGATGCTTAGCGAGAAGAGTGCGTAGATGTTTTATCAAAGGCAGGTATGATGCTGAAGGTGAAGACGCCAGGGATCAATACACGATGGTCATGAAATTTGAAAGATGGCGCATACCGACCCCGAGTGTACCAACGAGAATCCCGAAGATATCGGCGTCCCTCGCCTTTTGTACGACGGCGTACCGGCGCATGAGAAGCCTGTTCGTCCGTGATGATTCTAGTCGCGCTGTTTGGGAAGTGGGGTTGTAGGAATAAACCTGTAAAACGAATGAACTAAGTGGGTCAACGGTGTGAGCAATATACCGACATCTGACAAAGAACTGGTCATAAGAAGATTTGTGAGGGCTAGACTTTCTTTTCCAATGTAGAACACAGTTGTGTGCTCCGGGGGAACATCTGCAGGAACTGCTTTTGCAGGTGATCCTGAGACTGGGGCTGCTTTGACAGGAATCTCGTGGTGAAGGAGCGGGATTTGTCGTGGCTCCAGAGCTTTTCGTAGCTGACTCTGAACCTCACCTGAAATATGAAGATCAGACACAAGCTTCAAAACCAAGACGAAAAAGCGTGAACCTGCTAGATGTGCATAGGAAACATCATACCGAAGCAACACTGTTTGCCTCCCCTCCACTCGATTACTCGAATCAAAAGCCTCCATAAGTCGTTCAACGCAAAGATCAACATCAAGATCTTGTCTTCCAAAGATATAGATTACTGGCAGACGCGAGGTCCTTCATAAAGCGGATCAGCAACGCTACGCTAAGGACCAAAGAAAACTTACTGGCTCAAGCACGCATGTCCGTAATGCACCATCGCATCGGCGTCAACATGTTGTGCAGCAACCTCGTCGACACAGCAGCTTCAGGAGTGATATCAGACAAGAGGTCCACGTCCAACGAAGGAAGGGCCTGCCTGCCGTATGAAGTGTCTGCTAGGACATAGAGATCTCGCCCTGCTCCCAGAATAGGCTTGAGACGTCGAAAAATCGGCACGGAGTCGTGCAAAAGCTCATCTGGGAATTGAAGAGCAATCTGAAGAGGTTGATGAGTATTACATTGAGTACGAGGGGAAAGATCTTACGCGTTTATAATCCCCTTTGATGATCTCTTCCGCCGTTCTTGTGATCTCGTAAAATTCGTCGAAGAGTTCATCGTTAAATGGGACCTCCTCTGTCTGTACGTCGATTACGCGGGTTATAACGTCTTCTCCAGAGGCTGAGAAAGCGGTGTGTTCAGATGACATCGGAGAAGAAAATATCGAGCCTTTTGCTTTGGTCCATCGATGCCAGGCTTACTCCGGCCCGAACTCTTCTCAACATCCACCAACTCAACCTCGACGGCACTGTTGCGACCCTACAACACCGTCTTTCCTGACATATTGCAGTGGCGGTAACAGCCCAACAACACCTTCCAGTCGCGAAATCACCCTTGGTAGTTTCTGATCTCGTTGAGCACGATGCGCAACCCCTCTTCAGTGTCTTCACCCACAGTCTTCAACACGGATATTCAGTTGTGACTAGAGCGACTGCCTCGTCAGGACTTTTCCGATGTCCAACTCTCCAGCCTAGTACGTGGCTACAGCTTACCACCCAAAATAACAAGCATGAAACCAACTCCTTTCCAGACACCACCGTCGCAGAGATAAAGTCTCATCTTGTTACCTGTCGACTATGGCACCCATAACGTGAGTCTGAACATTTGACGCAATGAATGCAACTCAACATTTGACTACGCTCGTAGGGTGGATGTCTGCCAATTTGACGCCCCAGGTGGCAAGATGTTAACACAACGGGAATTCACATTCGAATTCAATGATGGGCTCGACTTGAATCGACTCCCTCTTGATCTCAGACCGGGACATTACTATGTATATCTGCTCATTTCTTCTTGGTTGATGCTTATCTCCTCTGCTCCCATAGATAATCACCAAAGGTGACCCATGGCGTCTTTGGAAAGACACGAATTTTGAGATCATTGACCATTTTGGCGTGAGGTATTATGCCCACGCCGCGGACTTTTACCTTTCAATCGAACCACAGCACTTTGTGCCCATGGAGAAAATCGTCGAATGGGGGGTAATAATCTGGGAAAAGAGAACACGTCCTTCTATCCAAGTAATCAGTACGTCGATTTCGAAATCTGACACCCTCCAAGCACTGAATGAATTCAGGTACACTTGACCTACTTTTCATGTTTTGTTGCCCCAAGCAGATGTCGATAACAGGGAATCTCTTTCGTTGGGGACGTGTGGCAGGGATTCGCCTCCGTCAACGTTTAACAGGTTCAAAGGAATTTCAAGTCGGCGCGCTGGATTACGATTATAAACCTGATTTTTCTGAATTTATGAATTCATCGACAGAGGACACATCCCCCTCTGCCAGTAGCGCCCCTTCTGAAAGACACAGCGGGAGTCTCTCGTCGATCATTGGTCAGCCCGTCGACGCCGAGGAAGGAAGAGATGAAGATATGGCTGTCACTACAGAAGTACCCCGTTTTATTAAGTAGGATAACGGTACCTGGTACTCAAGCCTCTTCCGGGCGGTCAATCGGCCGAGCTGTCAAGAACATGTGTGGACCTCTCTACCCACTTCAGATACATCATTGATTTATGGCTAGAGGTTTACAATAAATGGCAAGAACCGTCTAAATGTCCATTAACTTCAATGTCTTAAACTAACTCCTTTCTAGACTTTATCCAAACCCTATGGCTGAGAGAAAAGTCTTAGCTTGTCTATCTTCCAGCGTACCATGGCACCCATCACGTTAGTCCCAGCATTTGATACAAGAGATTCAAGTTTGACTTCATTGTAGGGTAAAACTCCGCCATTTTACCAGTACATATGGCGGAAAGCTGAACTGGCTATCATCCAAGTTATACACCTTCGAATTTACGGATGGGATCGATCTGCAAAAACTTCCTCTTGATTTTGACGATCTGAGGGATGTCTGGGTATACATGCCTACTACTTCATGCTCGCTAACGCTCATCCCTTATAGATAATAACTAAGGGCGACTGGCAGCGTAGCTGGCGCAACATCAAAAGACTAAAAGCTCCTGGCCACCCCGACGTAATATACGTTGCCCCCGGTCTCAATTTCTTCCATACAACAGATCGATTTCTGTCCACGAGTAAAATCTTGCAACAGAGGTTGATAACCTGGGAAGTTGGACAGGAACCTTCCCTCCTAGTCATCCGTAAGTCACCCTCGATCGTGGACGTCTCATGCGACTCAGCAAAGTTAGGTTCATTCGACTTACTTGCATTGCTCTGTGACCATCGGCGTAGGTCGATATTGGGTTGGGTCAAATTCTCGACGTGGTCGGTACGGTCCCGCCTCCATCGATTCGTCACGAGGGCAAAGGGTCCGTTCCAGCTCGGTGGGATGACCTACGGTCATGAACCTGATTTCTCCCAGTACATGAAGTCACAGACAGAGGGTACATCACTTCCCCCAGCCCCGTCTCCCTAGCCGTCGCGTGGCGGATTCTGACCCTACATGCCACTTGTGTCGTTACGCCATGTTTGAGCGAGGATGATGAATATACTATTAGGTTGTTTCCACCATTGCCTTGACATGTTAGGTTGTGGCTAGCCAGGATAGCCGATACTGGATTTGATTGATGATGACGACAGAGACAAGGTGAAAATACAAGGAGAGAATAATAATGTTACGGGCTACGATTCGAAGGATATAAGATATGTATGTACTGCTACTGAGTTGAACTCGACGGGGACTGCATGTCATTAGAGGTCGATGGGAACTGGAAAGGATGGAACGTCCACAATTCGAGAGGTCAAGGCAACGATTTGGAAGGGGGCAAGACTTTGACAGCTGGAGAGGGAAATCCTTAGGTTTAGGGAGACTGGGAAAAACTTCATCTAGCTTCATGTCCTTGGTATCATACACCCGTTTTCGACCTTGGCCAAGGGTTTATGAGAATTTCCATCTTGGGGAGCATATCAGCTACGTGCCAGTATGAGAGGGTGATAGCAGCTTACCTGTTTCCACAGTTCGTGCAACTGTGTAGGGGGTGGTCAGTAATCATATAGGAAGGGAAAGAGAGAAAAGGGCGTACGTTACGAAGGTCTATTATACACATTGGTCAGCTGTTGGTCGAAGGAGGGGAGAAAAAGCAAACGCACCGTCATAGGTTCATCGGCACTCCGCGTCTGAGCTTGGCGGTAGCGGCACTTTCTCTGTAGCACGGTGAGTTGGCGGCCACATTATAAAATTAGCACGACACATACCTGTTTGCATCTGGAGCACTGGAACGCGTCCGTTTCGGCCTGCTGCTCCGCAGCAGCAAGAGAGTTGTGGAAGTTCTCTGCTCTGATCTTGTTATCGGCTGCCTTTCTCTCTTCTGAGGCCATTTCCTACACCAATCCAAACGATCAATCAAGTGAAAGTAAAAAGAACCTGCGTGGGGCCACTGACCTGGCTTGTCATCTTGGTAAACTTCTCGGCCTGTAATTCCCCGCTGACGATGCTCTCTCGTAGACTCGGATTGCTCTTGTCCTTCAAGTTGACGAAGAGAGACCGAATTTTAGATTTGTAGGCCGCTGTGACTCCATCGCAGTCGGCAAGCACTGAGGCCTCTATTGCTTTGGCGTGTTTTAGGATGAGTTCAACAGCTTTTCATGAACGTCAGTTAGGCAACGGAAGCAGGAAAAGTGAACTTACGAGCACCAGAGTCGCTGGCGAGAGCGTCGTAGATCAGCTCAGTACATTTGTCTCGGGTGCTGTCCCCCGTGTTGCCTTTGACGCCGTCGCCTTTTGCGGTGCGCAATTCGACTTTGGCTGTAGTGGGCGTCGATGGCGTTCCAGGCGTGCTCGCGACGGATGCCTTGCGCTCTAGCAGACGATGAGCACACGATCTAGTCGATGATGCACGAGACCATTTACCTGGTCCCTTTCCATTTTGCTGTGGTGCCTTTGAATGATGAGCCCCCTTCGCCTTCTCCACGGCCACTTTCCACTTCTTCACAATCTCCTTTGCCAGATCAGCTACATGCTTCGCCGCGTGCGTCCTGAGCTTCCCAACTGCAAGCCCAGCTTTGCTCTCCTGTCAATCAAAGATATCAGCACCAGAATAGGAAAAAGGGCAAAAAAAAAAAAAGACGAGCAACACCCACCCTGAGGATAGATTCAGTGATTTCAAAGTCTTTCTTCAGGATATTTAAGACATCAATGATCTCCTATAAAAAAAACGAGGATGAGAAACGCAGAGTAACGGGATTGGCAAAGGAAATTACAGTACCTGTTCATCAGCCGCACTTTGCAGCTGTTTGACGAGTTTTTTTAACTCTAGAACATCGGCGGACATGAGTGGCTACTGGCTATCTATCTGTATCGTACGAAGGAGGACGACTAGCGACTCTTTTGTAGTAATTCCCTCAGCCGCTTTGTCTAACGAAAAGACAAGAGGCAAGGTCAAGACAACAGAGACAAACACTTTACTCGCCGCTACAACCACCCTCGCAGCATCCCATAACAATGACCACCGCGGCACTACCTCCTTTAGAGCCTTTGTTGAGGCGAAGCGCGAAAAGGACGCGAGATATATTTGCTTCAGAGTCGGAAGATATCTTGAAAGATGAGGAGACAAGGTATGTTTACTTGAGTTTCTAAAGTATCTCTTTCTGACAATTTCATAGTACGCGCGTTCGCCTGGCCTGCAAAATACATGATGAATACCGCGACTACAAAGAACTACCGTCTGCTTTGCTTGCACAACAGGGTGTAGTCGGTCCCTCACGGCCAGGCGGTCCACCTCGAAAGATGATCACAGCAGGGGGTACGTTGCTCCAACTAACCTCGTTGCACCACAATCTCATGATCAACTTAGTGGACAGCAACACCTCCAAAATCATCGCAACAATAGACACAACCCCACAAGCCCAACCATCCACTTTTTCAACCTCGACGAAACTCACGCAAGCGCTGACACTACACAAAACCACACGAACAATCAAACCCACCTATCACCCCCCTTGGAAACTCGTCCGCGTCATTTCTGGCCACCTAGGTTGGGTGAGGAGTGTCGCAGTGGAGCCGGGGAACCAGTGGTTTGCCACAGGCGCGGGCGATCGAGTTGTCAAAATATGGGATCTGGCGTCGGGAGAGTTAAAGTTGTCGTTGACGGGTCATATATCCACTGTGCGGGGGTTGGCTGTATCTTCAAGGCATCCATATCTATTTTCATGTGGGGAGGATAAGGTCCGTATTCTTTGCTTTTTCTGCAGTGTGGTTCTGACTGACGTGTGGATCTTAGATGGTGAAATGTTGGGATCTAGAAGCCAACAAGGTCATCCGACACTACCACGGACACCTTTCAGGCGTATACTCTCTCTCCCTACACCCAACCCTCGACGTCCTCGTAACAGCCGGCCGAGATGCGTCAGCTCGAGTATGGGACATGAGGACCAAAGCCCAGATTCACGTCCTCGCCGGGCACACGGCAACAGTAGCAGACGTGAAATGCCAGGAATCTGATCCCCAAGTCATCACAGGCAGCATGGACTCTACAGTGCGGTGCGTCTCTCCTCGTCCTCGCCCTCCGCAGATTACTCACGAATTGACGCAGATTATGGGACCTGGCAGCCGGCAAAACGATGGTTACACTAACCCACCACAAAAAGTCTGTCCGCGCACTCGCCATCCACCCAACCGAATACTCCTTTGCGTCTGGGTCAGCTGGGGGTAACAACATCAAAAAGTGGAAATGCCCCGAAGGCTCGTTCGTGTTCAACTTTAGCGGGCACAACGCCATCATCAACACGCTCTCCGTCAATGCCGAGGGGGTGTTCTTTTCCGGCGGTACGTCCCGCATTTCCTTCCGTCTTCCCGCATCGTCTCCCTTTTTCCTTTTTTTTCTTCTTCTTTCTTCTGTTGGGGCTAAAATGTTAAAATCTAAAAAATTCAGGTGACAACGGCACCCTTACTTTCTGGGACTACAACACCGGCACGCCGTTCCAGAACATGGACGACGTCCCGCAACCTGGCTCGCTCGAAGCCGAGGCGGGCGTGTTCTGTTCGACGTTTGACCAGACGGGGACAAGGTTAATTACCGGCGGTGCTGATAAGACTATCAAGGTCGGTGTCTTTTTTCTTTTCTCCCTTTGCTGGCTTCTTTGTTGGTGCCATAGCGCTGATACATCGGTTCCTTTTAGGTCTACGCAGAGCAATCCCAGTAGCCTTGCTTTGTACATTATGCCCGATCTTCCCCCTTGTTTTATTCAGTCATATCGATGTATCTTGCCTCCTCTTCCGAGATAAGCCTTCCTATCTTGTAATATCCGGAATATCTGGCCCCCCTCCGAGTAGGAACGCGTGGTACATACTCGTGCCAAATGCCATTTCGGTCCCTGTGCGGAACTTTCAAAACCACAACGCGTTCAGGGTGATAATCAGTTGCAATAGGTTGCAATACTTGGACCCACAAGTCTTATTTGAAATGTACGAATTCAAATTTCTTTATGATGGCCATGCCAACCACGCGTCCTATGCTCCCTATTTCGAGGGTTCGTAGGGTTCCTTCACGTTCTTGTGACCTTTTTTCTTTCTTTTTCTCTCTTTTGGCAGGAAGTGACGACGTGAGGGTCTTCTATATTCAGCTGATGAATATTTCGAGAAAGTGCGACAGAGATAGATACTAACAAGTAAATCCGTGAAGAAAGAAAGAAAGAAAAAAGACCAAGTAAACGTAGAGAAAACAATATAACACAGCGTCCCATACAGTAACTAGTAAAACAACATCAGTAGTGGTATTAGAAACTCTCAAAACCCAACCCAAACAAGTGGGAAAAAAAGTGCTATGATACAGATGGGGTCAGAAAGAAAGCGTTTACAGCGGAGATGGAGTCATGAATTCAGAAGCTTTCCACAGGTATGCTCACCCAGCCCACCCAGTGAGAGAGGAAGAAGTCCCGGGAGAGAACGTAGTCGAGTACGCAAGGGTGCAGTGCGCAGGCGGTTTGTGCTCCATATTCGCCGACATCGAAATATGCTGCAGCTGGCTGCCGAACCCATGATACTGCGGTCCGCGACCCTCAGATACCAGCTGAACAGAGGCAGGAGGCGGAGGCCCATCAGGCCTACCCCTCGAGGCATACAGCCCTCCTAATTGTTGTACAGGCAGCGAATCCGATTCATTGATGTAGAGCTCTCCTCTACAGGGAGAAAGAGCCGTCTGCGCAGTGGTTGGATTTGAAAGCTCCGGGGGGACGTTGGAAGGGACAGCTTTCACTGATTGCCCCAATGCTGGATAATCTGGGTAGCCAGGGAGGACCTCCTGTTCGAATAGAGCTGTCGTAGCTGCAACGTACTCCTTTTCAAAAGTGAACGGGATCTCATCCTCCTCTGCGTATGAACGCGACTTTTTGAGAGGTGGTCTGATAGGTTCAAGCTCGGAGACGGGTGTTGGAGGCTGAGGTTGCGTATGTAGGCCATTCGTCACTTCGACACCTCCTGCAGGAGGAAAAGGTGGATGTGTGTAAATATTGGACTCGATAGGTTGCGGAGTAGGGTATGATAGCTGCGGATATGATAACATTGCCATGGTATGTTGAGGCTGATGTTGAAGGTGAGGCTGCAGCTGCTGAGGGGGAATCTGTGGAGGGGATAACGATCCCATTGGTGGTTGGGGGAGATGTTGTCGCTCCTGGGACTGCAGACCCATCTGAGGGGCTTGAGGATCAGGATCACAGTACTGATGAGGATTGCTGGGGTAAAGTGGTTGCGAAGTCACTGGGAAATATGACACGGATAGAGGAGCCCCGGAGGAAGCATAGCCTGGTGTGTAGGTTTGTGGTTGTTGAAGCCATGCTGGATCACCAGGACTTCCACCACCGTGTAGAGGTGTCAAGGTCATGGGTACAATAGGTGTAGTGTTTTTGGGGATGCTAGGAACGCCATAATAATCATCCCCAGTCGGGGACACCGGAGACGGATAATCATATGGGCTGGCGGGTGACATCTCGTTGAAGGTAGTGATTGAGGCGGGCGAAGAAATTGGCCCAGGCCCAGCACTACCAACATCATTTTCGGGTGAAGGCCGCCGCGATCCGCGCCGTGGATAGCCTAGCTGGCGACGAGGATGAAGCTCCGTAGGACTCCCCTGACCGACACGTAGCATGCGTTCAGCCCTTGATCGTGATACCGCTCGGCCACTCTGCGTTAGTTCTGGGTGTTGCAAAGGCATCGGCAGCGTTAAAGGCGCCGGAATCTTGCGATGTCTGTCGCGGACGCGTTCCTCACGGAAGAAAGGGGCTCGTACAGGCTTTGCACCGTACACCTTTTTCTTCGTTAACCCGTGCTTCTGCTGCAATTGGGTCACTAGGCTCGGTGCATTGTCTGATTCAACACAGGCGCTGGGCGAAGGTGCGGACTCGTCGAGCAATTCCAGCGAGTCTGTGTACTGGCTGTCAAGAGGAAATGTGTTGCGTCGTGAGGGTGTGATCCTTTGAGGTTGCTAAATATGTAGGATATGAGAATCAATTGCAGTCATATGACATTTTTACGTACATTGTGGGTGAGAGCTGTGATAAAGTCTATGATTAGCGACAGAACAAAGATCAACGAACTTCAGAACATACCTCCGTCCGGATAGAACTGGTGATGACTTGGCTGAACTGATAGACGGAAGGTAACTCGACCTCGTTCGATTGGAAAAGGTGGGTATCCCTCGACGGCACCCTGGAGACGGGCCTGATGATTCGAAGTCAGAACGCCAGTCATCGGACACACAGGTTTCGATACTCACCGTCTCTTCAAATAGAAAAGTCAGGGAGGTCATATCTTCATTCGGACTCATGACAACATGACAGTGTATGTTTGCCTTGAATGAGGAATCAGACGGATTCTGCGGTTTTAAGCTGGTTAATCGTACCTGAGCCATCTTTTGCGCCAGCAATGACCAAGTTGAAAAGCTGTTACCACCACCCATACCGTCATCTGACGGCGTGCTCGCGGCAACAATGATCAGGTGAAGGGCAGCTGGTCGACCTTGAGACTCGACGGAGATTAAGCACTGTAAGGATGATCAAAACCACCCATTCTATGACAGAATCAATGACGCTTACATCGATTCCAGTGCTAATCTTAGCAACATTAAGTTTGTTGTCTGGTGAACCGTTAAACCTCAAATCCCTCAAACCCTCGTGTAAGCCATTATACTGCTGAGGAAACGAAGCTTGTGTCCCTTGTGAGGGATAGCTCTCAAGCACCAAAGATATTATCTGTAAGGCGTCAACAATCTATCACTTACTCTGCACTTCAAGTGCGTCGTTGACATACTGGGGTAGGAGCGGTCGTCTTCTCTATGTTGTCGACCAATTTGGTCAAGTAAAGATCTCGGAGATCAGGCCAGATGAAGGACATGGGTTGGGAATTTTCAACGAGTAGCAGTACCGCTATCGCCTGATGAGGCGACGCGGTTTCAAAGGGAGAGCCAGTCGCCATATACATCACAGTCTTTCAGCACTAAACGGCACAAGACACGCAAGTGGACAAGAGTGTGCGGTCAAAGTTCGTGAATGATGGCGATATGAGGCTAGTGAAGGACGGTGAGCTGGAAGTAAGTAGGTTGAGGAGATTGTAACCAAACCGTGAGCAAATTGTGCTTGGAATTGTGGATCCTTATGGGACCAGTCGGACTTTCTAATTGTCAACCCTTGACGATTAACGACAAATTATATTCTTCCATGTCAGAAAAATTCTCACCAGTATAGTCTGATCCGGTCGTTTCGATCTGTACGGCAAGGCTAATTTCCCCGTCTAGATTCTCCAGTGGCTCACTAAGTCCCGGAGGAGGCCTTGCGAAGGGTACAAGGAACTCTTCAGCCAGTTGAATTCCTGTTGCTCGTCGAAGTCTGGACACACAGGAATGGGGATCAAGAATCTTCAGCCTTTTGGGAAGAGAGTTCAAAGCCTGGTTCAATAAGGTTTTTGGAGGTTGCTGGCACTGAGAAAGGCTGAGAAGGCACGAAATGACGGAAATGGCAACGCGCATCGCACCAGCCTTACCGCACGTGTTGTGACTTTTGGGTCTGCAATGGGACTGCGATGATCACATCAGCTGCCTGACTCAACCTCATTGGAAATCGTTGTGCTTAGCCTCTATAGGGAACTGTCCGCAACTCCGTACAACTCCGTATGCCATTCTATGTCATATCGATGCTATCCGGCCTCCATTCAAAACGGCTCTTACCACGTCCGGACTTTGTAAAAGTTCAATCAACCGGCGAGTGCCGCTGAGTTCTGCTGCGAGGGGCAGCAGGCAGCAGGTCGGTCAAGCATTTCAACTTTAAGGAACACCAGAAAGCCCGAAATTTACAAAATGAGGCCCACAAGACGAATGTTAAATAAATATCTAGTAGCCGTTTCCAAGCCGGTCAGATGTTACTCAGGTGATGACTTCAGATTCTTCTTTCAAAGTAAACTTCGAATTTTACGAGCAGTATTGCACATATTGCTGGGTGGGCATCCATTGAACAATTTCTCTATAGGGGATGGATACATATCACTGCTTTCGGAATACAGCATGCCAAGAGCAAAGAATTTGAAAAGGGCGGTCCTGGCTGTTCATTTTCTGTGTCAAATGTCTAGATGAGGGGCCGCCGTCAGCAACTTGGACTTGAGCAACTTAGCGTTGGCGCAAAGACTAACGTCCAGTCATCTACTTTAGCCTAGCCATTATCGCATCAACACGCTCCCTTCCTCCGCTTTCCCAGTCATCCCAACAAATGCTCAACATCGCCGTATCTCTTCCCACACACCCTGCTCTCGGATCACCATCTCTCTCACTTTTCTTATTCCCGGCATCATCCTTACCAATCGGCAAGACTCTATCCCACCTCAAAACAGCTTCCAGCTTGAACCCCATGCGCTCGGCCGAGCGAACACTGGCTTCATTGAGCGCATTCGCTTGCCACACTGCGCGTCGCAAGCCGAGGCCACCGTCAACATGTAAATCAAGCGCGTAGTGGAGAAGAAGTCCGACTGCGTTTGAAGTAACGTGTGTGCGTTGGAATGAGGGTAGGATCATGATAAATCCAATCTCAATTGCGAGATTCGTCGGGGAAGAATTGAGTAGGCCAACTAATCCAGCGAGGGCGCTATCATCTTCTACTTCATTCGTGACACTCGCGCGTCTCGTTTTGTCAAAGATCGCAAAAAGAGTTTCGCCCGGATTCTTGCGGATACGCCCTTCAATCAGTGTATCGACAAAATCGCCGACGGCTTCGTAAGGTCCGAATGGAAGGTATGTGAATATCTCGGGATGTAACTTTGTTGCAGAGAAAAATGTCTCCGCGTGCTTCGAGGGCTATGAGGAGTTTAGCGTCGATTTTTCTGATTGAATTGATGATTACTATGAGTGGTGTTAATTTAACACGTTCGCTTTCCAAAGCCTCTGGGATTGGAAAGCAAAAGTTGATATCATAAGGTCCTTCTGCAGACATGGGTATGAAGATGTGTTGTCGAGTCAGGAGCCTGGAGTCACGATCGCGACCTGCACGTGCGGACGTGACCTGATCTCGTGATACAGGGGAGCCTATGACGTCGCTACGTAGTATCATGACGCAGTAACTTTAAGAATCCGGATGACGCTAATAATAACGTTTTCTCTTCCAAGGGTGCTTCCGACTTCGACGTCATGCTCCCCGGCAAGATATAAACGACGCTATTCAAACGCTTTGAAGGCATCCACCCTTTCATACCCAAACACCACTTTGAGACTCAAACACCACTTTTTACGCTCTCACAAATACTTACCTTGAACTACTTGAACTACTATGGTGAGCGCGAACCCTGCACGCAACCCTGCCTCACCTTTAATGTGCTGACTTTTATTTTTCGCCGATGTCAGGGTTCGATATTTTCAGCGATCGGCTCTGGCATCAATTCCGTCGTATCTGCAATTGCGGCCGTCATCATGGCGATTGTAGGCGCAATCACAACGGTTCGTTGTCCCCACCATTGTGTATCACTGCAGCGACCTTATCATGAACTTTATCATTCCTAGGTTATCGTCACTATCTTCGATGTAATAGTAGACATTCTTTGCTGCAGATGCTGCGGCTCGCGCAGTTCTGGTCGCCGCACTGGACGGTCCAGGAGGGGAAGAAGATCGGGAGTTTACTAGATGCGATAATCGTGACAATGACGCTTACTTATGAACGTATACACGACTGAATTTTCTCCCTTGCTTTCTGTACTCTTAATTTGATTCCCATCTTGTCTTAAAAGTCATGTTGTGAAAGACCGCCCAACCTGTCGGATTGAGAATCACTGATGTTGAAAGCAACCGCGCTATTTAAGCAACCGTCTATAACCGCTCGCCAAATATCATATTGTACACACCCCTCGGCCTCCACTCAATCGTCACAAGTCGGCTTGTCATTCGGTATAACTTCTTTGAAATGTTCGGAAGGGACTAAAAGTCTTTCTGGATGGAGCGGCTGATACGGTATTGCGGTTCGATGAACAGCACGTATGTTGGAGAACATTGAACATGTCGAAGAGATAACCGTTTTAGGTCCGCGGATGCTGATCATTGTTTGGCTGATCAAGCTGGGACAAACAAGGCTTGTCGATGATCGTGATCGAGAATGTTATTAACCTCCCAAAACGCACTCACTCTCACGAGCAACATGCTTTCTCGCCCTTATTCCTGGAAGCATCGTCACTGACCAGGGAAAATCGCGAGTGAGTGATTCTTCTGTGATTGCAAAATAAGCTATCCAAATCGTTCTGATCCGCCATCGCCAGTCATCCTCGCATTCTACGTCCTCCAAGAGCCGTTGCTGGCTTCACACTCGTCACCCAATCGATCAACTCGTGAATATACCATATGTACTGAGAGTGTCAAGATTTATCGCGATAACGCGTCTCCTGACCTCGCAAGTTGTCACCACCCCCACATCATCCCCAGGTCTTCCCTCCTGATTATTTCCGACAACTGATCTGCAAGCACCAATGATGTCGTTTGACGCATCGATTGACGTGGCCATTCCGTCCGGGCGCCTTCCAACCGAACTGCTTTCAGAGATCTTCCTCCACTGCGTTGATGGCGTTATAGACATTAGTAACACAATCACAATCCCTCTCCTTCTCTCGAAGATCTGCTCGAGGTGGCGAGATGCCGCTATATCGACGCCTCGTCTTTGGTCACGTCTCTTCCTCCAGCTCGCCACGCCAGCGGATTCCCAGGTCGAATTGGTCAGAACTTGGCTCACAAGATCGGGTGGATGCCCTCTCACGATTTATGTGTTCTGGGAGGAACCGCCCTTCCTTCCGAGCCATCCAGTTTTGAATGCGTTGATGGAGCAATCAGCTCGTTGGCAGGTGGTCTTCTGCTATCTGCCCTCTGTGGCTTTCCCATCCTTATCGCGCGTTCGCAATAGGCTTCCTTTGTTGACCGAACTCAGTCTAGGGACTGATGACGACTTGCCATTGACAGCCAATGGGACTTTGAATATGTTTGAGGTAGCGCCCAGATTGACGCAGATTGAGTGCGTCAACTTCGCGCCGACCATTTTCAACTTCCCTTGGTCCCAGTTATCCGTTATCCCAATAATGGCCGTCAGCATCGAGGATTCCGTAGATATCCTCCGCCAGGCAACGAATCTCGAACAAGGAGGATTTATTTTTGTGGGCGGCGGGAACCAAAGACACCCGCTCCGCAATTGGAAAGTCCAGCATAATCGTTTGCGTTATTTCACCATTATGACACCCCCATGGAACGAAACTATCGATCTTCGCCGTCTATTTTCCCAGCTTACCTTTCCTTTTCTCGAAAATCTCACCATATGCAACTTGAAATCTCCGTTTTCCGCCGAGTTTGTTCAATTCCTTTCTAGACTAAAGTCGCTCCGCACTCTCCATCTGCGGAAAACTGCGATAGTTGACCACCAGCTAGTCCAAGGACTCAAGCACCTTCCCTCGCTGACGAGCCTGATTGTGCACTCGTCGCCGCAGGACGCGCCGACGGTGACTGGGATTCTTCTAGCCGCGTTAACCTGGAAGTTTTTCTCCGATGATTCGAAAGGGTTAATGCTGGTGCCAAAGCTGAAAAAGCTGGAGCTCACCATAAACCGCAACGTTGCGCAGCAGTTCATTGACATGGTAGAGTCGAGAGTTATAGTGAATGATGAAATCGGCGGCAATCCGGCGCGTCTTGAAATGATCCGAGTCCGGCCCACTGAAGAGCTTGGAGAGGAAATTCTTTGTCAACTTGTTTTATTGAGGGAGTGGGGGCCGTCCATCGCCATAGAGGATCTGGAGAAAGGAATCACAACTGTGAGTTCATTGCTTGTATCTGATTTTTAATTTTAATTTATACGGGTATGTCCATTCTAGATTTGAGAACAAGACCCGGCCGTATCCACAACAGAATGGTCAATAGAGCATAGTCAGGGTATCAGTATCTAATCTACTTCGTTTTCTCGTTCCACCTGTATATGTATTTTGCGTGAGACGTGTATAATTTCAATTAAATACCCCACCACTTACAAATCGAGGAAAAATCGCCAGAGGACGGAAAACATCAACCCTTGCAAACCGTTGGCTAAAATACGGGTCTTCAAGCCGCGCCCGAATAAGCCGCTCAAGCCGTCGACGGCGATGACCTCGCGCGCAGCCGCCATATACCCGATGCGCGTTTCGTTGACTTGTCGATAGGTTTTTAGAACGCGGAGGGAGTTGGAGATGCTGTCGGATACAACTGAAGCAACGAACCCGATGAAGGCGCGTCGAGCCAGTTTTTGGAATACGGTGTGGGGTAAAGGAAGGGTATCTTCTAGGTAGTTATATGTTCCGAACCACTAGACGGAATATTATATATATATGCAAATGGCATGCGAGATTTATCAACACGTACGGGGTAGTGACCAACAAAGGTGGCCGCTGCGGTAGCCAGTGCACCGTACCATAATGTACCAACTCCGTACATCTTGATCTATATAGAAATATTAGGACAAAAAAAGAAGGTTAAGAGATAGAAAAAAAGACATGAAACATACGCGTGCTCTCAGAATCTGCATACCAGGTTTGCCCTGGGTTTGCAGAGTTGTCTTTACGGTATCGATAGGCGTCAATATCATCCTAAACGCAGCAGCGGCGAGGGACGCAAAGATAGTCTTGACAAGCGTAGGAAGTTCCCTCATGTAGGGGTTGGATTGCAGTAACGCCAAGATACCAGCGTTTGCTGCCGTATCTCCAAAGCGGGAGACGGGACCCTGGACGAGTGCAGCAGTTAAGCCTTGGTAATATCGCGTCCAGCCGCCGTCGCTGTGTAAGGTCTTGATGGCTTCAATTGTGGTGGTGCCGTATCGGTATTGGTAGTTCATAACTGTTCTCAAGGGCTTATCAAGAAAATAATAAGCCTTCGTAGTATGGGAATTCCGAGGTGGTTCGCACCATGAGCGTCAAAACCTGAAGCACCATAGCTTTAATAGAACTTGAGTGGCGCGGGCGGCACCTACATAAAATGCTTACGCACCTGCGGCGCCACTAAGCCCTCCCCCGAGAGCGCTGAACAACGCCCCTCTCAAATCGAACTCGAGACAAAAAACGTGTTTAACATGGTGTCCCAAAATGATAGCAATGAGCAAAGCTTACATCGACATCCCCAGCGTCAATGAAGCCCTTGATAAGCAGAGTCAAGAGAACAATTCCCACTGCGGTAAGTACCCCGTAGGATGTCCAAGTCTTCCACCCAATTTTGTGGGGAGGGACCTCAACAATGCCGTTTTCGAGCTCGTCACCGTCTACAGGCCCTGGTTGGGTGCCACCACCAAGCAAAGGCTGGGTTTCGCCGAAAGGGTCGCTTTCTGGTGGGACTTTGGATGCTGGAGGCCCTGTGTTCATCGCGATTAGGTCCAACTGAAGCGAGAAGGCATCCACAGGCGAGGTGCTGGGATTTCGGAACGATAGAAGCGAGTGTCATTACCAATCGGCATCACACAGTAATTATAGGTCAGCAATCTGATAAGATCTCCTTTTACTACGTGGTTCCCTCCTTCATTATCTCCTTCCTTTCCCCCAGGACTGATTATCATAATCCCCCATTAGATAGATACTAATACAACTGTCACAAGTCAGCAATGCTCGAGAGAGATAGGTTTAAGATCTCACCATAAGATACCAACAAAGCCAGATGAGAAATGTCATCATGGGGAGACATCGGCGATCGTTAGCTTCTCCAACGCATCCTCGAAGTGATCATCATCGCTTTCCTCCTCCTCCTCCTCTTCCTCTTCCGTCGAATCCTCGTCCGGAGGCTCGTCCTCAAAGTCCAGCTGCGAACAATCATTAGCTCAAGGGTAGAATAGAGCACATACCGAACACGCACAGGATCAAATATCACTCGTATTATCAGACTACAGCTGGGACATGTGGCGATGTCCTCACAATCTGCGAGCTGCCGTCGTGATATTTCAAAGCGATCACCACAAGGACATGGGTAGTGATAAACGCGTTTTTCTTCATCCCAGGCCATGTCTTCTATTTCTATTTCGTCGTAGTATGCGCCCATGATGTAAAATTATATGAGAGATTGGGAGTTTTAGTATTGGGGTATGGCGTGGAGGGTCAAGGAGTCATTGACCCAAATTTTGACGATGGGTGATCAAGTCACAATGGCATCCAAACAAACAGCACTGCTTTCGGCTGTTCGATCACAACAGCTTGATCGCAAACTTCCAGCTTAATTTTAACCCCTCAATTTTGCAAAGTCAAGCCCCTCCAACTCCTCTAGTTCTGGAGGCACTTCTCTCTATGTATGTATGGCGGACTTGCCAAAGCCTTTCTTGATCTTGAGTTTCCGTACTGACTATGGAATTTTAGAGATTAAGTTCGGGCAACACTTTGAGTTTGACCTGTGTCGATTTGCCACAAATAGCCTGGATTAGGGTGTTGGAAAACGTCCGAAAGACCTGCAAGAACGATTTTTTGCAAAGCTGAGCCCTGTGTGGAAACTCGATATCCCGCCCTGCGTAGCCACTCACGTCAGAGCAAACTTAGTGATAGGTTTTGTAGGAAAGCTGGAAGGTTGGAAACTTGTCAGGGTTTAAAAGTACGTTGATCTATGGTTTTTCTTTTGACATTGCGCTCATGGGGGTATTCAAGGTCTGTAGATTGACACTAGACGCCACAGTGAAGCAAAATGGAAGAGATATTGAAAGAGATTCCCAACTTGTAAGTGACAGATACTCTTTTGCATAATGCGAGCTTAACAACAACCCCCAGAGACGCGTCTATACCCCTTAAATATGCCGATAAGCTCAACACGAATCACCTACCTACCTCAGACGAAGCCGTGGAGCTCAAGGGTTTCGTGTCAGGCATAAACAACGAGGTCGACAAACTTACCCAGGAAATCAAGGCGCTCGAATTATCCTTGCGGGTCCTCCAGGTCAAACGAATAAGATACAAAGAAGCCGCAGCCCCCTACCAAGCCCTATCGTCCCCATTGCGCACCTTTCCCCCCGAACTCCTGCAATGCATATTCGCTTGGTGTCTCCCTCAGAACCGCAACGCAGTTATACACTCAGCAGAGGCGCCAGTGCTCCTCGGCCGCGTCTGTAGTACGTGGCGCCGCATCTCCCTCGCCACGCCGGAGATATGGGCCCGAGTCCACATCGTTCCACCCAACGTGAATCTGATGAACTTGACCTCATCTATGGAGCGGTTTCGGCGGAAGCGCGAGTTGGTGGAGACGTGGCTTAGTAGATCAGGTGTCTGTCCTTTGGACGTGTCGTTTGTTTGGTTTGGAGGTGATTCGGACGACGAGATAGGGTTATGCGGGACGTTGCTTGAGGCGCTAGTCCCGCTCTCTAAGCAGTGGAGGCAGTTGGATTTCCAGGTTCCGCTCAAGATGTTCAAGCCGTTCGAAAAGCTCGGGGTGGGCGACGTACCGCTACTAGAAGGGATGAGTCTGTTGGATAACAGGTCGACGTTTGAAACGGAGGTCGTAGAGGATTGGCCCGAGAGCCTGATGTTTGCTGGGTCCGCCATGCGGTTGCAGAAGTTCACCCTCACATTCTTTTCAGGGGGCATGCGCCTCCCCTCGATACATTGGTCGCAGCTGACGGTGCTATACCTCGAATCCAATATTGCATTTTTCTTTACAGATTCCTTTCACATGCTCTCTACCCTTCAACTGTGCACCTCCCTAGAAAGCTGTACCCTCAAATTTCCCTTATCGCATACAGCTTCACTGCCTCGCTACAGGAAGGTCGACATCGCGGTCAACCTCCCACGTTTGAATATGCTCTGCCTGGACGGAGACCAGAACCTTCCAAATACATTTCACATGTCGAACACTCTTGATAACCTCTGCCTCCCAAAACTTCAGCATCTAGAGATTCAAGGCCGGTCAGGTAGCCCAGAGGACTCCACTGTCCCGGAGCCCCTGACGTCCATTAGGAAACTCCTCGAGCGCTCAAAGTGCTCTTTGGACAAGATAAAGTTGGAATCTCTCGATTTGGCGGAGTCCGAGTTCATGGCGTGTTTGAGACTGGCGCCTGAACTGACGGAGCTGGCGGTGCATAACTGGGGATTGAGGTTGGGTCCTGTGCCTATGGAGGAGTCGTCCCCTGCGGTGGTTGAGAATCAGATCTTGAGAGCGTTGACGGTAAACGCCGCAAGTGATCTCCATTTGGAAATGGAAGTGGAGGGCGAGGATAAGAAAGAACACCCTGTGCAACTGCCACACGAAGTGCTGTGTCCCAACTTGTCGAGCTTCGACTTTACCTTGTGTGGCGCCTCGCAAGAACTGCTATGTCAATTCGTCGAGTCAAGGTGGAATTTGGGCGCCCCAGTGCGACAGTTGAAGTCGGTTAAAGCGAACTTCACGGCACGCGAGGACCTTGATGTTGGGGCGCGGTTGAAGGCTATGAGGGATAGGGGGTTGGAGCTTGTTGTGGCCTTTCATAACCCTTTGACGGATGAGCCGAACCCGTCACCTTGGACGGGGGTTGAGGGGATGTGAAGTGACAGTAACATCCCTGTTGCATGGATTCTTGCCTTTTCTCTTCGGGGAATGGTGCGTACATTTCTCTCAGCAATGTCTGTTTTGACTAAACTGTTATGGCATCTACATAGTTGAGATTCATGCTTCGTGGTGGGTTGGCCCTTATCAAGGTATCCGTACGGGACGGACACCTTCAGTCTGGCCTCAACAACGTCACCCTACGGCTTTTGAGCTTCTTTGCACGCGGTAACACAGAAACAACAGCATCGCGATGCGCCCTGCTTCCACTGGACGTCTACGGAGGGTCCATAGGGAGAGTGTTGAGAATGGCGTGCACTGCTGCACATTAGAGAGGGCTGCTGATCTCTTTCACGTCGTATGGAATACACGATATTTCATGTAGTTTCGGGATGGAAGTCTATGATTTTTCTCGCTCCCTCTACTGTGCTTATGTAATGTCCAACGTCTAAGTACGACCACTACATCCAAATTTCCCTCTCTAAGCAGAATGTCGTCCGCAAACCGCCCAATAGTCTTCATGGACATCAACATCGGTGAAACCCCAGCTGGTCGTTTGAAGATGGAGCTTTTCAGTGATATCGTCCCAAAGTGAGACTCAAAGGACGTGCCTCCTTCGTTTGCAACCATTTAACCTCTGAAATAGAACCGCAGAGAACTTCAGGCAGCTGTGCACTGGGGAATACAGGTCCGTATTTGCAGCAAAGTGAACAGCGAAGGGACTTATAGGAGTTCAGAGTGAATTCGCGTCCACAAGGGTATAAAAATGCAACGTTTCATAGGTTTGTCTGGTCTATGAGGTTTCTTGGATACCCTTGCTTGCTGACGCCGATATTTTAGAGTGTAGGCCCGCTTGTATTCCTCAGCTTCGGCGTCGACTCATCCGCACTCTCTCAGTGTTACAAATTTCATGTGTCAAGGCAATGCTGCTTCCGCAATTGCGCGGCTGCCTACTTATATTGAAGGTTTCAGGTGGTGACTTCTTGAAGGGAGATGGGACAGGTTCATTTTCAATATATGGCGATAAATTTCCGGTATGTTGTGTCGTTGCTTGAGATAGCCGTTCACCGCTGACCTTCTAGGTTTGATGAAGGACGAGAACTTTCAAGAAAAGCATACTGGCCCAGGTCTTTTGTCGATGGTATGGTTACCTTACCCGCATCTCGCTACGGTTGTTTTACCCCGTTGTAGGCCAATTCCGGACCGAATACCAATGGATGCCAAGTAATGCACCAAACCCTTCGTAATGCGAATCTCTCTGACGAAACTTTGACAGTTCTTCATCACGACCGCCAAGTGTGATTTCCTTGACGGGAAACATGTGGTCTTTGGTAAAGTTATCGATGGAATGCTCACATTGAGAAAGATCGAAAATGTAGCTACGGGTCCAAACAACCGACCAAAACTGGTTGTCAAAATAACCGGTCAGTGGCCCTCACTCATTCTAGAAGGACGTCTACTGAAGGAAACTGGCAGAATGTGGGGAAATGTAGCATTGTCTACCAATACATAACAGGTATTGTAGGTTTGAGCTAGGCATAGCATTCAAACCTGCCCTCGCGACTTTGAAGCATCGCCTCAGTAGCTACCCAGCGTTTGCGTGTACTCGTAGAATATAAATACGGTTTTGTGGAGATCTGTTTCTGGGCATATCGGCTTCCGGCTTTAGTGGCGAATCTGCGATTGGCCTTGGTGCTGTTGGCGTGTTGCTACACCACACGAGTCGTTTATGACGCTTGCGTGGTCCTTTGAGTTGCATGTACTCAAGAATCCCACAAGATGAATCCTCCTTCCTCAGGCGCCGTCATGGCCATCAGTAAACCTCTACCAGCAATTCCGAAACTTGCTATAGGTGCCACAACCCTTTCGGTTGGCGCACGCGCTCACCGGTCGCGACTGATAAGACACATCTTGTCACAAACCCAGGAGCCAGGCATCGAAAGCAGGCGGGATGGATGGGCTTACGTGTTGGAAGAGGTTTTGGACGACTTGGGTGACGCTATGGCTCGGGGAGAATGGTTCAGTGGCGTCAAGCAACGCAGAGCGCTGAAGCGAACGCATCTAGAGAAAAAGGCGCAGGCGGTAAAGAAAGACGCTGAGTCGAAGAGAAAGACAACCGCAGAGAAGTCGAAGGACAAGAAAGAGGGCTCAGCGACGTCCACTGTTATCGAGGCAGCTGAGGTTGTCAAATCCGCAGCAGCAGCTCAATCTCCCGTTGATATTCTCAAGGAGATACGATCTTTGGCTTCAAATCGCGTGCTGCCCGAGTCAACTGGTTCTCCCCCCAGCTATCTTGTGCTTTGCGTCGCGCCTCATGGGAGTCGAACACCTTTGCCAGCCGAGGACAGTGGGTTCGACGTCGTACCTGCAAACATTGGTTGTTTCTTTTCTATCGGAACGTATTCGCTGCATGTCACCGACTCGGATGAGTCTACTACCACCGTTCTTTATGGACTGCGTGAATGGGAAGGTAAGCAGCCTTCTATTCCTTTGACTCTCCCTGCTTATGGTACTTGACCTCCGCAGCCGCGACCATAGACTCGAAAACTACGCGACTTGTTGGAGGAACATTTGTGTTCAAGGGAGTCAATTCTCCTTTGCAGCACCAAGCTCTCTGCAAGTCACTCCGACTTTGCATCTACGTCCAACTTTCTATGGTATTGGAGCAGCACTTCCTCGCAGATTCACACATCCAGCTCAAATTTCCTCGTCCCAAACTCAATCCCCCATCCCCGTCTACTCCGAACAGACATGTTGACATTATGCCTCCCCACTCCGCCCCCAACGCGCGTGATGGTGACGAAACGAAAGCTCGACCGCGTCATACTCTCCTTCCCTCCAGCATCTTCAGCTTTTTCTCGCGGAAAAGCCATGTTCCTCGATCCAAAACAATTAATCCTGTCGTGGGACGTAGTGGCTCATTGGACCTCACAGCTCTTCCCTCCCCAAAGGAGCGATCGCCTCGCTCGTCATTCGACGGTGGCTTGCGCCTACGGAGGTTCTCCTTGATTGGGGACAAACACCCAACTCGCAAGAACAGCCGCACGAAAAGGGAACCAGACACCCCGTTTGCCAATGCTGTGAAGCGCCTTGAAGAAAGCAAAGGTTGCCTATCGACCTCCCCTGGGGTCTCGTTTGCGCCTCCAAAGCTGCTTCTCGATCTCGCGCAGAAGGAAGGTGTAAAACCTACCCGTCGATTAAAAGGTGACGAGAGGGCCAGTCTTCCTACTATCCTTGGTTGGGACGGTAAAGCTGCTCAGGGAAAGGGAATGTCGGGTATCCATGGATTTGTGCGTCAACAAGAAATCTCGGTCCTTTTCGGCCAGCACGTTCCTCCTGCCACTCCACCAACTCCATCGCTTGAAACAGAGGGATCGTCAGCATTCACTGCTTTGTCCACCTCATCAAATCTCCCTACACCTGGCTTCGGCTCCTGCGGAAAACCACACTGGGTAACTTATAGATATTATTCTCATAACCCCGACGAAGATCAAGTGCTTGGCGAAGCTATCATGGACTTGACATCAAAGTCCCAACTTCCATGTTCTCGCCAGCGTTGTCCATATAAACGTGGACAACATGAACTGCGCCTAATACATGGTGGCATTCGCATTATCGTTCGCGTTAACAATGAGGTTACAAGCCCTGAAATAGAGGATACCTCCATAAGAATATGGGAAACCTGCGCCGTCTGTTCTGCTGCATCGGAAAAGACCACGATGTCCGACGGTACATTGTATGTCTTCCTAACTAATACATATTTTTTACTGACTTATTAATAATAACTATAGCTTACTCTCTTTTGCGAAGTTCCTCGAACTGCTTTTATACTCTCCCATGATATGTACTCTGACTCCAGCCCTCTGTGAGCATACCACACCCCCTCCTGGTTCATGGTCAGACCTACCACAGTCTCGTTTCAACATCAAGCGGCATTTCTCAACTGCTTTCGGGACCGTCTCATTTTCTCTTTCGGCCATTGACGATATTTTTGAATTCCGCGTCCCCCGCTTGCAGTTTACTCGTGACAAGTCCCCTCCGAGTACATCCATCTCTGAGCACCCTCCAGAAGACCACGATAAGAAAACTCTTAGGCGAGAAATAAGGCGTTGGTGGGAAGGTGTTGCAGATCATATTGACAAGCTCGTGAGTCATGAATGAAAGCGCTTTCGAACAATTGGCTTATGGTTCTGTAGGAGCAACTTCTGGTTGGTGACGATCTCAACGCTTTTCAAAAGGCCTTGCCTCGTCTCCCATCCTCCGATGATGCGTATGAACATTTTGAGCCGACAACTCCGATGCTAACACCTTTACCCCCAACCACCCCGAACTCTCAGCCTCACGGCGGTAAACTCGAAATTCCTCTATCAAATCCACCAGTACCTTCTCTTACAATTGGCTCCGAAACATCTCAGTCCACGCCGAAGCAGCCTGTACTCCTGGAAGTTCCATCAATATCCTCCCTTACTCTCGGCTCTGAACCATCCCAATCCACACCAAAGCAACCTGCAGTTCCGCTATCATCCTTTCTTGCTATTGACCCTGAATCATCCCAGTCCACACCAAAGCAGTCTGAAGTTGCCGTAGTTCCGCCACAGGATGACCCATCGCTCCTCCTCACCAGCCTTCGTCACAACCTACAACGTAGCGAACAGGAACTCTACGTCCAACTATCTCAAACCCCAACTTCTTCACTCAACAATGTCCGGAGAGCGTTCCTTGCCGCCGCAAAGGGAACTCAAAAACGTATCATTGCCTGGCAGAAGAAGCACTTGGCTTCGAAAGCTTCTCTTGTTGGTGAATTGTCTGCTGAAGAGCCTGAATGGTGGGCGAAGGGTTGTCACGCTGTACCAGGAGCAAACATCATAATCAGAGAGCGGGATTGGGGTAGCATCATTGCCTTCACCTTAAGGTAGGTGCTATCAGAGCTTTTCGTTCAGGTCGAGGCTGATTCCTTGATACAGTACTTCCGACTATCACCAAGAGCTCGTCAACCTCTCGATAACACGAAAGGAGTCCTTACCACAAACTCCACCACCCGAAAAAACCCCCTCCACTTCAGGACCATCATCCTTCTTTTCCACCGCCACTGGATACAGGCTTTTCTCGTCTTCCTCGAATGTCCAACCTGATCCTGATCAAGAGGACGTTATTTGGCACGAGCCTGAGCCATATTCCGCTGTTATTACTCGCAAGGAACATACGCGCGATCCGACATCCATTCTTTCATTCAGGGAAGTCCTCCGGCAAAAAAACCATAGTGCAGAGCTCCCGTCCCCACTTTTGGCATCTCGCTTCGCCACTGCTTCGAATTCGACCTCGCAGCTTCTGGCAGGAGCTCCTCCGTCGGCTTGGGCCAAACCAGATGTAGCTGTTAGCATGCAAGCTGCGGACGGAGAGGTTGCTGCTGTTCCAGAGGAGATTGCTGAGAAGCTTCTCCAGGATCTCGAGGAAGCTCGTTCGGAAACGTCTCGGCCGCCTTCTGTCATGGCGTCTGACGTGGATGCACATTCAATGGCGAGCTCGGGTTTTGTTGATGCTCACATCCGTCGTGGCAATGCGTCTTCTGTCATATCGGTTGAGAGTGATGCAACGATTGGCAAGGATGTTGGAAGTCAAAGTCAAGGGCCATCGTCCCTTCCTCCCCTTCCTCCGCCGAAGGATCCACCTCAGCGCAATGGCCAGAAGGAGGCCTCAGAAGCTACTTCATCATCAGCAACGCCATCAACGTCGTCTTCGTTCGCCAACACGTTAGCAAGCGGACTGAATGTAGCCATGAGGTTTGTGATGAACAACAGTTCAGAACCTTCCCGGGCTTCGACGCCTTCGTCTTCCAAAAAGCATCATGGCTTGCTTTTCCCTGAAGGTGCCAGCATAGACGAGCGACCACATATCAAGTATGATTGGACCATCGGAAAAAGACTCAAGTTCAGTTGTACGGTGTACTATGCCAAGCAGTTTGATGTCTTGCGTCGGAGATGTGGCGTCAATGACTTGTTCCTCAAGAGCCTATCTCAAAGCGCGAATTGGGCGGCTGAAGGTGGAAAGAGTAAATCCAACTTCTGGAAAACGAGTGATGATCGCTTCATCATCAAGACGCTCGTCAATGCATGGAATGTGGCCGATCTGTAAGTTACCTCGAGCCCTCTTTGTTCCGTTGGAGGATTGACCTTCGTCTGTCAGTCAAGTCCTGATTGAAAACGGACCTTCATACTTTCAATACATGGAGTCAACAGCCGGCAAGCCCACCGTACTGGCCAAGCTGATTGGGTTTTACACTATCGAGATCAGGAATCTAGAAACGGGGGTCGTTCAGTCGAAAGCTGATCTCCTCGTCATGGAGAATCTATTCTACGACCAGAATATCAGCAAGACCTTTGATTTGAAGGGCATTCATGGGCGCAAAGTCAAGGCGAATACGGCTCAGGGTCATACGTCTAAGACTTTGTTTGATGGGGAATGGATTGAAGGTATGCTCATTCAACTACAGATGATTGAAGACGTTTACTGATTTTGTGGTTTCTGTCAATAGGGCAACAGCGCACACTGATCTTGGTCCACCCACATTCAAAAAACGTCCTTCGTGAAGCTATCAAGAGCGATGCCGATTTTTTGGCTAGGAGTAACATTATGGACTACTCGTACGTCTGCGCTGTCTCTTTTCGGCGTCACTGATAGTCCCATCAGTCTGCTGCTTGGTGTAGACGATAAGAAAAAGGAGATCGCTTGTGGTCTAGTTGATACAGTTGGTCAGTCTCTCCGCCAATCGTCCCTTTGATCATCGATATCTTTACCTCTACAGGGAGTTATACCTTCGCGAAAACGTTGGAGTACAAGGCGAAACACGGGCTCCAATCAGGTAAAGAGGTCACTGTCGTGCCTCCGATCGAGTACCAAGAGCGTTTTGTGACTGCATTGGAAGGATACTTCCTGGCATGCCCTGGTCAGTTGTGCCAGTGTCTCTTGCCTTTCCTTTTGTTAACATGTTCTTGCAGATAAATGGTCAAAGCCTTTAGATGACTCCGTGGTTATTAGCGACCCAGATCTTCTTCCTAGCATTCTATAGCACGCCATTTTTACATGTACTTGGGACTTCATTTCACGTTTATCTCCTTATAAGCTTTTATTCAAAGGAATAGATTATTTCTCGACATGGCTCTGTTGCCGTGTTGCTGATGCCCACACTCCACAAGTAAACAAAGTCACTAAGCGGAGCATTTTGAAATCTGGTCTTGGCTAGCTCCAAAAGTAAATAAAGTCACTGAGTGGAGCGTTTTGAATTCTGGTCTATTGTAAGTATCGTCTTTGAGACTTACTATGTATTTCTTCCGATGAGATGCATCAACCCTTGATACATCATCTAGTTTCACTGGGACTGTTGTGAGCAGTATGAAATGTACCGCTGCGCGGCAGCTGTAAATAATAACTGAATATAATTAGAATCAACATAAGTACTTATAGTGAAAATGGGCCGACAGAGAATCAAATTCCAATTGTATCACGTCTAGGGCATTCAAACTCCGACTATTATCACTTCTGATCATGAACCATGACTGGACCCTCTTCGGACCTAATACTTACACACGGCAACTCATTTATTCCAGAAGCTGAGGTCAGTTTTCGCAACTATTCTCATAACACGCCCTTTGGGATGGATCAATCGAACAGGCTCTCTGATACCCCAACTCGTCCCAAAGACAATCAGTCCTCAAATTATCTCGGGAAACTCGCCAAAGCTCGCCCCACAGTTATGGACAACATTGGCTCCAGCATCCCCATGATCACATTTGAGCAAATGCTCTCCCATGTTCTTCCTCAGCTTGATCTCGACTTCCAGGCGACTTGGAATAGCTTGGTTCAAGGGGGACATCTGGAACAGGTACAAGGGACCTACAAGTGGAGCGCGTTCCCAATTGTGCCGAAAAGCGCCCATGACACCGAGCCGGTTGTCTTTTTAAAGATAAAAGCCATTCAAGATGCGATCGTTGCCAATGCGGTCTTTTCCAGCGGTCCTAGACCCCAAACAGCTGAGTATGTCGGCGATGCTGCGAGATGCTGGGAGTCGGTGCGAATCGGGAACCAAGGCAAACCTGATGGATGTGGGCGACTGCAGTCCAATCAAGAACAATACGTCAAGCCCGGTTGGATGTGTGTTGCATGGGCTGAAGAGTATAAGGAGATCGACGAGGACATTGATAGATACCGTGTAAGTTACACAGTTTTCGACGCGTTCTCCATTCACGTCATCCCTTTTAGAATGGTGGAAAAGTGGCCTGGAGTTTGGATCACATACTCCGTGACGATGCTCGCAGGAGGTGTGCTTTTGGTATCACCATCGAAAACACAACAACGCGAGTATGGTTCGCCTCACGATCCGTTGTCTTCAACTCGGAACCGTTTGATTTTTTACATGTCAGCTGTCAAATACCTTAATCCCCATTTACGATCTGATGTTCGCTTTTTCAGGACTGTGAAAAGTACATCAAGTTGATCATCGCCCTCTCGTATGGTAGCGCTATCGAGCTCGGCTTCGATCCAACCATCAGAGCTTTCAGAGGCGTCGACGACAAGATATTCTACGACTTTACCGTTAAAGGAACGGACTCCGGTGGAAACCCTATCACAAAGATCTATCGCACTGTCAGAAGCATATCTGAGTTTGGTGCTGATGCCATCCGTGGTCGTGGAACACGTATCTACGAAGTCAAGGAAGTGGACAATGGCGTACTTAAGGGTGATACACTTGCGTTGAAGGATTGTTGGGTGGACGATGATCGGGAGTTAGAGGGGGATATTCTCACCAATATTCTTTTGGACTGCAACAATGAAGAACGCGAGTCGTTTTTGACCCTTGTCGTCCATGGCCTTGTCGAGGTTGATGGTGCTGGAACGAAAGACCATATCAAGGAGGTCATGTTGCGAGGACTCGATGTCCACCAGGGTGGGTTAAAGTATCAATTCAAGCACCCTGACGAGATGGAGCAAGATATACCCTCCCCAGACAAAGTCTCCTCTGGGCTTAGCGCTTTTGTGCCCATTGCTCGAATGGTGCGCGAGGAGAACGAACATCACTGGAAACATCACTATCGTCTCGTATTCAAGGAGGTGGGCATTTCCATGTATGAGATTAGGTCCATCCAGGATGCCTTCCAAGCCTTAGTCGACGTGACGAAAGGTTCGTAAATCGCATGCAACTCGCTTGCCAGTCTGATAATGATGTTAAATAGCACTCGAAGTTATGGCTAAGAAGGATTATGTGCATCGGGACATCAGTGGCGGTAACATACTTTTCTACAAAGGCCACGGAAAGCTATGCGACTTAGAGTATGCCATTACAGCGAATGCCCGAGGTCAGCATGGTGTGCGCACGGTAATTCTTCAACTGTAATTTCAGGCCAAACCCCCACCAACGCTTTTATCAGGGTACCTTAGACTTCATGCCGATTGAAGTCTTCTTTCAGGAGTATCATCCTTCCCACTCACCAGCCGACCACATCGTATCGTGAATGGGCGAAAGTTCCGAGAGCCAACATGAAGGAGAAGCTTGCTACCCTAATCAGGTATGCGGCCGGGACCCACAACCCCAGGCCAAAGGGGATTATACACACACTTTTACATGACGTAGAATCCCTATGGTGGGTTGGTGTATGGCTCCTTTTCTGGAGTGCGACACATGTATGCCTTCTCGAGGATGTTGAGAGACGAATCGAGGATGCAGTGACAATCTTTCCCTTTTCCGGAGCAACAGCAGAAACGTTCCAAACGAGATCCCGTGTGTTACGAGGGGATTTCGAGGAATATATCCCACAACTCCCTCGGGAATTCATCCTTTGTGGCGTGGTTTTGGACGAATGTCGCTCTTCGTTGTACGAAGCGTATCTCAAATCCCGGGTCCCAGGCAAGGATTTGAAAAACGATTCTCGGTTTGAGCTACTGCTGGCATTCAGAAATCTCTTATCTGCAATATCCGATCCAGCTCCCAATGATATTGCCATACGGCCCCTACTCGAGGTTTATAAATCGCTCACCGAAATGAAGCACAAAGCTGACACACCCGCTGATGGTTCACACCAAACGTAGATAGCCAGTAATTTAATTGCCAAATTTACGTTGCATGTGGTTTTCAATGACCCCAAACATTGTTAGATCTGTTTGTGTTGTGTCATTTTGGATTTACCCTGTTAATATTTCTCCAAATAAGCGAGACTCGACGACGTGAGTTTTAGATTGTATTCCGTGTTCTGCTGTCATTTCTTGTTTCACCCCTCCCACCCAAGCTCCAACCTGTTCCAATTCCTCAGAACAAACATTACCAATCTTTTTTTTTGAGGTTATCAACTTTTGCATAAGCTTACATCGAGCATTGTGGCTCATCTATGTGGCTAAGTGAAGGGCGTGGCTTCAAATGGAGGATGGCATCGTTTTGGCAGAGATTGTGATGGAGGACCTCTTTTCGATACAGGCCGTGGACGAGGACCTGCATCGATAGTGCTTGTGGGGAGCCTCTCTCGTCGAAAAGCATGAAGGACCTCGCTTCGGCAGATGTCATGGGGGACACGATCTTCGTAGAGGCTGTGATAGGTTTTCTTCGTTGACTTTCAACGTCGAAAGACTGTCGACCTCGGATACACATTCCGTGTCACGACATGACGGACTGTAGCGCGTATGCCTACCGCGTACCAAGTCAAATCACATGTAGCTATCATCGTACACATGAATCCCCGCCCCGCCCTAATGGTGAACAGGAGGTAAGGTGAAGTGTATCCTCGTGGCCGCGTCTGAAGCTGCGACATTGAACTCGCTGGACATGGTGTGGTTGTTGTAAGCCAAAAAAGTGGCCAGGCGCATATGCATCGAATCGCAGAGTGGACATGGCTTGCTGTTTTCGTTCCTATGGTGGAGGCCTTGAGTCTTCGCATTGGAAGGAATCCACATCCCTGAAGCGCAAACACTCAACTCTGCGCTCCGACGCTCCCTCATTGACCAAATGTGTTGCCACAGTTGCAACCGGATAATGGGCCATATTACGGCGGTTCAGTGTGATAGTAGACTGAGACGCACTGTTGGTATTCACGTGGATGAGGACTAGCAATATGGGATATTGTGGTTCAGGTATACGCAATCGTTGTAGTGAAAAGAGCGGGGCTACTCAAGAACCTGAGGAAACTTTGGGATAGGCGGACATGAGTAGTTGTTCTGGGTCGAATGCTTTTTTTGATTCTTCCTCAAGATTATCTTGCTAGGCTGGTCGGTGCCTAGTGAGTATGCTATGGAAACAAATGAACTTTTGGGCTTCATGCCATTCCGCGATGAGCGAGCACGAGGAACGAGTGATAAGCTCATTATCGAATAAGATAACGTCAGAGCGTCAGAACGAACTTGAAACTTCGCGTTTGTACTCATAAGTACAAACAACCCAGAAGTCTCCGAATGTCAGACAAGGAGAAGACAAGGAGACTCCTTGTCGTTCAGTTTATCGTTCTGACGCGTAAAAAGATCCTCTCCTTCATCACTGAATTTTTTGAACCTTGGCAATTTCTTCCCGACCTTTACAATGGCCGACATTCCTCTGACAACGGCTACCACTAGTACTGAAAGCTCTACTGGAAGCTCTCAAACTGTGGCTACACCTCAAACTGTGGCTGCACCTGTCTCTGATCCTTTTACTGCTATTCCTCGCGTCCCTCGCACTCATACATCCTCGGCTATTATTCAAATGCTAAAAAACTTGCCGTTGATCTCCATACTCCAGATGAATAAAGAAATCGAGGAAGAGAATGCTGAAATTTGAAAGATCACGGAAATCTTTCAACCACGCGTCTGACCCTACTGTTCACAAGGAACCTGGTTCTGAACAGGCTTCTCTTATCTCTCTTGACGAAGAAGACCTTAACCGACTCGTACCACAAATGCAGGATCGGGCATGAAGATACTCGTGGTTATGTGAATGGCTTGGGAATGGCCCTCCATTTCTTGCTTGATATGAACTGGAAAGAAGGTTCGGACCAAGCCAGGCTCACACACGCTTGTAGATGGCTCATGATCGATCAGATATTGAGACGGCCGCCGCTAACGTCCTCGACATTGCAGCCCCCATCGACCCTTTCAAGAATCTCAGTGTTGTACAGGTCAGCCTGACTCGAGGTCAGAGACGTCACGCGTCACGGTCACCGGGGTCACGTCAACTGACTTGACGAGGTCAAGGGTCACCGGTCACCGGTCATGATGGGGGTCAGACCTTTTTTGGAAAGAGTATTGAGGCTAACGCGCAACGCCCATGTTTTTTTTTTTTTGTTTTCTTGTTTTATTTTTATTTTTTATTTACACTCATGTTTGAACGTTGTGTATACACAAGTTTTCACAGGACCCTTGACCAATCATGACCCCGTCAATCAAAGTCAGGTCACTTGACGCCAGGTCAGCGTCAGACCCGGGTCATGACAACACTGTCCAGGACCAAGATTATCCCAGAAATTAAATATCACCTCATCTGCGAGAAGATATCATTCGATTTGATCCTCTGGTGGGTGTCTCTACTGAGATCCTTGAATGCTTCAATGCAATCTTTTGCTTTTTGTTCCATACTATCGAACCATCTCGCAGTCGCGATATTGCTGAGCAAGAGACTGTGAAGCACATACTTTCTGGAGGTTGGTGGCAGTCGCAGGTGGACGATGGGCTTGTCCCAGATTGGATGGTCCAAGGATGCTGCGTTTACGGCTGGTAAGCAAATTTGCAAGTCAATTCCTTCAAATTTCATCGATTTAAATAGGTACTGTTAAGCTTTCGCCTCTCAAGCGCGACAAAAATAAAAAAGATTCAGCCACGGGTCGCTTTACGAGGGAGCGACATGGCTGGAGTAGACACCTTGAATGCAGCCGACCTTATTGATTTCAACGCGAACACCTGCTGGTACTGTGGAAAGTATGTTGTTGCACGTTCTCAAGACATGTGTAACATTGGAGACTGGGTTTTTGCGCGATCTCCCTTATCAGTCAGTAAAATCTCAAAAGCTATGCATTACTCGCAAAGTTCAACTACCATATTAGCAGTCCTTGTCAGATCCTCCCGTCACAGGGCGCATTCTCGATATCCTACAAGATACAAGCGGCAAGTCATCGTTGGTTATTCTTGACTTATTACAAGTTGCTGCAGACCGCCATGAAGTATTTGGAATGCCGATCCTGAAATGCCGACTTGCTGGCAGGAGAGTTCTAATCATTTCCGCAACAGTCAGTAATCAACTTTTGATTATCATTGTGCTGTAGATCTTACCTTGCATTGGATTTTAGGGCATTCTTTTCGAGTATAACGTTCAGCATGATTGCCGGCAGGCAGGTTGAATAGCATTTGGAAAGGGACAGTACTCCAGGAACATGTTGCATCAGGCATAACCAAGACTTACGTCGAACACAAACCCCTCAATGTCTTCTTCATCAACACACATTCATTTCATAACGCATAGCCATCCTTCCGCGAGATCTGACTGCCCCAATACCTTACGCGGTCAACCGTCGATCCCATCATGATCGGATAGCGGAGAAGCTCTGAGTTAACCAGGATTCCAAGCAAGCTGCGATAGCTTTGAAAGCAGCAAGAAAGAAGAAAGCTGTGGCTCTGCCATCACAGCGGCAGAGAGTGCTGTCGGAGGAGTCGTCCCTGAAAACGCACGCAGGGTAACGAAATTGTTGATGCACCGCAAATTGCGTTTGGCCAGGTCAAAGTGACATCTTGATCAGCTTCTGTCGGTGTAAGTAGGCCTTATATGCTACATATCTGGATCAGGGATTTGACATGATTTCTATAGTTTAGTTCCCGCCCTACCTCATCCAAGGGGTAAGTTTTCTTTTGTTCCAGATGGTATCGATGATATAGATAATGAATGGCTCCAATCCTAGCCAATCCTATACGATTTCGCTTGTATCTCAAATTGCAATTGTGTCGCGTTGGGGGCATTTTCAAACTCCGATCACTTCCACCACCCATTGTAACCTCTTTTGCAACTATTTCCACGACACGCTTTTAGCGATGGATCAAGGGGACAGGCTCTCTGATACCCCAACTCGTCCCAAAGCCAATCAGTCCTCGAATTATTATTTCGGGAACCTCCCCATAGCTCGCGCCGCACTTATGGACAACCTTGGTTCCACCATCCCCATGATCACATTTGAGCAAATGCTCTCCCATGTTCTTCCGCAGCTTGATCTCGACTTCCAGGCGACGTGGAATAAGTTGGTCCAAAAGGGACATCTGGAACAAGTACAAGGGACCTACAAGTGGAGCGTGTTCCCAACTGTGCCCAAGGACGTCAATAGCACTGAGCCGATTGTCTTTTTGGAGATAAAAGCCGTTCAGGATGCGATCGTTGCCAATGCAGTCTTTGCCAGCGGTCGCACAACTCAAACAGCCGAGTATTTCACCGATCCTGCGAGAGCCTTGGAGTCGGTGCGAATTGGGAACGACGGCAAACCTGATGGGTGTGGGCGACTGCAGTACACAGCGCAAGAATACGTCAAACCCGGATGGATGTGTATTACATGGGCCGAAGAATATAAGAAGAAGGACGCAGCAGCCGATGAATACGACGTAAGTTCCGCAGTTTTTCGACGCGTTCTCCATTCACTGCACCCCTTAGAACGCTGTAAAAGTGATCTGGAGTTTGCATCACCTGCTCCGGGATGATCCTCGCAGGAGGTGTGCTTTTGGTATCACCATCGAAAATACAGCAACGCGAGTATGGTTCGCCTCACGATCCATTGTCTTCAACTCGGAGCCGTTTGACTTTTTACATGTCAGCTGTCAAATGACTTGATCCCCCTTTACCATCTGATGTTCACTTTTTTCAGGACTGTGAAAAGTACATCAAGTTGATCATCGCCCTCTCGTATGGTAGCGCTATCGACCTCGGCTTCGATCCAACCATCAAAGCTAGGAAAGTCGTAGAAGACAGCGTCGAAAAGATATTTTTCGACTTTACCGTTAAAGGAACAGATTCCAGTGAAAAACCTATCACAAAGATCTATCGCACTGTCAGAAGCATATCTGAGTTTGGTGCTGATGCCATCTGTGGTCGTGGAATGCGTGTCTACGAAGTCAAGGAGGTGGACAATGGCATACTTAAGGGTGATACACTTGCGTTGAAGGATTGTTGGGTGGACGATGATCGGGAGTTAGAGGGGGATATTCTCGCCAATATTCTTTTGGACTGCAAAGATGAGGAACACGACTTGTTTTTGACCCTTGTGGTCCATGGGCTTGTCGAGGTTGATGGTGCTGGAACGAAAGACCATATCAAGGAGGTCATGTTGCGAGGACTCGATATTCATCAGGCAATTTAAAGTATCAATTCTCTGACAAAAGGGAGCAAGATATAGCTTCCCCAGACAAGGTCTCCTCTGGACTTCCCCGAAGTAGCGTTTTTGTGCCCATTACTCGCTTGCTGCGCGAGGAGAACGAACATCACTGGAAACATCACTATCGTCTCGTATTCAAGGAGGTGGGCATTTCCATGTATGACATTAGGTCCATCAGGGGTGCCTTCCAAGCCTTAGTCGACGTGACGAAAGGTTCGTAAATTGCATGCAACTCGCTCGCCAATCTGATAATGATATTTAAATAGCACTCGAAGTTATGGCTAAGAAGGATTATGTGCATCGGGACATCAGTGGTGGTAACATACTTTTCTACAAAGGCCACGGAAAGCTATGCGACCTAGAGTATGCCGTTACACCGAATGCCCGAGGTCAGCATGGTGTTCGCACGGTAATTCTTCAACTGTAATTTCAGGCCAAACCCCCACCAACGCTTTTATTAGGGTACCTTAGACTTCATGCCGATTGAAGTCTTCTTTCAGGAGTATATCATCCTTCCCACTCACCAGCCGACCACATCGTTTCGTGAATGGGCGAAAGTTCCGAGAGCCAACATAAAGGAGAAGCTTGCGACCCTAACCAAGAATGCGGCCGGGACCCACAACCCCAGGCAAAAGGGGATTATTCACACAATCTTCCACGACACAGAATCCTTATGGTGGGTTGCTGTATGGATTCTTTTCTGGAGTGCTACAACAAACATATGCCTTCTCGAGGATGTCACGAGACGCATTGATGCTGCAATGGCGATCTTCCCCTCTTTCGGAGCCACAACAGAAAAGTTCCAAACGAGATCCCGTGTTTTACAAGGGGAGACGGATTTCGAGGAATATACCCAACAACTCCCTGGTGAATTCACCCTTTATGGCGCGGCTTTGGATGCATGTCGCTCTTCGTTGTCCGAAGCTTATGTCACATCTCGGCGCCCAGACAAGGATTCGGAGGCGGATGGTCGGTTTGAGCTACTGCAGGCATTCAGAAATATCTTGTCTGGAACATACGATCTGGATGATGATGTTGCTATACTGCCCCTGCTCGAGGTTTATAGTTCGCTGAAGCGGCGCAAGCCCGACACACCTGCTGATGGTGAGAGGGTTCATAAACGTAGATAGTCAGTAACCATAAAAGCGTTGAATGTGGTTTTCAATAGATTTGTTCTGTTTATATCTCCATATGAGCACGACTCGACGTGGTTGTTAAACCGGATTTCTACGTCCTTCTGTTACCTCTACCTCTGTCATTTCTTGTTTTACCCTTTCGACTGAAGTTCAAACTCCTTCACCAACTTGTCAATAAATATTTCTACGTTGTCAATCGTTGCATAAGCTTACATTGAGGCATTGGGGCTCATACTAGGTGACTCAGTGAAGGGCCTGGCTTCGGCAGGCCATGGGGGTGGGCATGGTTTATTGGAGATTGTGAAGGAGGACCTCTTTTCCATATGGGCCGTGGAGGAGGATTTGCCTCAGAAGGTTGTCAACAGCCTCTTTTGTTCTCGCTTCGACAGATGTCATGGGGAACCTGATCTTCAGGGATGGTGTTCGTCGTTTGATTTATGTCGACAGATCGTTGACCTTGAGTGCAGGTTTACTCTGTGCTATGACATGACGATGTAGTGTGTATGCCTGCCATGTACCAAGTAAATTTACATGTAGCTACCATGGTAGGCGGGAATCCTCGCCTGATGATGAACAGGAGGGTGGAGCCAAGGTCAAGCGTATAGTTGTAGCCCCGACTGGGGCTGGGACATTGACACCAGACATGGTGTGGTTGTTGTAAGTCGAGAAAGTCGAGTGGCCAGGCGCATATGAATTTAGCTGGCTTCATGACTTGAAGCTTGACATCGTTTGCCATGCGTACTTTGCAGCCTACACGCTGAGATATTGAAGCTCAGCAGAGTTCCCCCCCCACCTCGGGCCTGGCGCTTTAAGGTGATCTGGGCCCTCTAAGGCCAATTAATTGTCTGGTGGTAATTGGCCTGAGAGGGGGGTCTTCTTAAGAGCTGATGGCGCTGATGAATAGATGATGGATATAAATAGCTCGGGTACAATTGAGATCCTTCCCCGATTACCATCCATGGCACGAAAGCGCTCATACCACCCAGCACCTCGCGCCTTCAGCACTCAGCGCTTGAGCGTTCCACTTAGGGATGAGATAACTCTAGCGTCCTGTAGAATACAGGAGGAATGAGTATTTAAATACAGCAAATATTTAGATACAAGAAATCCGTGGACACGGATAACTTGTGTGTGCCTAGGACTTGCCCGGCTCATTCAAGTCAGATCTAGATTGACAATAGCAAGATCCAAGAAGACGGGCAAGACCTGAGCGTCTGGAAAGCTGTGCAGAACCAACTAGCTATACCAACCAGAGTGTAAGCTCACAACAAGCAAGTTGGTTCAGCACGGAGGAACTACCCAAATGAGCGTCACTCTGGGAGAGATTTCATTGGCTAGAAACAGAAATACAGGATAGCGTAGCACAGTAAAAAAATTTGAGGTAGGTTGATATCAATACAAAATAGGTCGGGATAGGCAGAGATATAAATACAAGATAGTTAAGAATGGGTGGACAATTACAAGGAGAGGTTCCCGTTAGAGGCGATGATGAGCGCCAGAGGGATTTTGTTGTTAATGCGAAACTGTTCAAAGATTGCGCGAGCGAGTCAAGATGGGACTTGCTGTATGCTTTTGAGGTACTCATCGGCAAGATCTCCTCCATGCGCCGCCAGTAGAGTAGGAAGGCAAGAGAAGTCCAGCCGCCTGTAGCAGCGACGATTTCTGGTGGTACGCCTGCTAGGAGAAGTTCAACAGCTCCACCAATACGAAAGCTATGACCAAGGACATGTGCGAGCATCGCCGATGACCAGATTTGAGTGCAGAAATTCAGAAATTCATGCTTGAGGAGAGTCTTTGACTGGGAAGACGTAGTTGTATATGCGAAGAGGGGGGCCGATTGGTTGACAGATGAGTTGACGAAGAGGTGGTTCTTCAAGGCAGCTATGGGGCAGAGAACATCGTTTCGCGCAGTGAGGATCACAGAGGCGCCAACTTCTTTTGTGGTCTTGGTCCAAGGGATGCGAAAGTTTGCAGAGGAGGAGCCATCACGCAAGGTACGGAAGGTAATACTGCAAAAACATGAGAATAGAATATGCAAAAACATGAGAATAGAATATACAGAATGAAGAGAAGGGGCGCACATGACAGAGCGAAGAACATGGTATCTGTCATCAAAGGCGGCAGCAGTAGTAACGGCCAGCTCACCCAGTCTTCGACAGCCGAAGAATGTACAGAGGGCGAGAGCCCAAACGGCAGCATGGAAAGGAGTAGATAGATTGAGGGCACGGTGAAGAGCCAACAAGTGCTCAATGGAGACGGGAGCACGCAGAGGGCGTTTGTGCTTCGTCCCTTCTTTGTTCGCAGACACACGTGCCAACTGGACCCATTCATCATCTCCAAACCAAGGGGCATGATTGACGACGTGCCATGCACGGATACCTGAGAGCCAGGAGCATATAGTGTTCCCAGCTTGTCTGCCCTTGTACTCCCCAATGAAGGCGCAAAGGAGAGGATAGGAAGCAGGCATTTGTGCTTCCTCATCAATACCCCATCTGTTGCAGAATTGGGTAAAGCGCAAGGTACCGGCGGCATACGTTGTTTTAGTGTTAGGTGTGTATGCACCACGGATAGACATGACGGCACTGTTGACCAAGTCTGAGGGAAGAGAGTCGATAAGGTGCTGCCTGTGACAAGCAGCATGAGGCGTCTCCCAGGCAAATAAACGATCGGCGGCAGCAACATGAGGACGTAGAGGGTTGTGACAAATTTGACGTCCAGTGTGAGGTTTCCTGGGTTTAATAAGGCGGGATGAGAGAGATGGGTTGTCAGGAACAAGATGGGTGGCAAGTAGCAGTGGTACAACAGTTGTAGGAGGTGGAACTGTGAGAGGTGGAAGAGTACCCGATGTCGAAGGAAGGGTACACGATGTCAAAGAAGGCACAGGAGAGGGAAGAGATGTAGCAGAGTGAGGTTTGAAAGGATTAAAAAGAGTATGATGACGTGTGGGGCGCGGAGGAACAAGGGGTGAACCACCCACAGTCGTCTCGACGAGACGTGTCGCCGATTTAAAAGGATAATCTAAGCTGAGTAGGATATCAGGGTAAGATAAAAGGGGAGCCATGTGAAAGGAAAGACAGGCTGACCTAGGCATGAACAAAACAGGAACGTAGCTCATCAGGGAGCTTGAAAGGTGGGAACATTTGCTTTCCAGCAGGTCCTGGTTCTCCGCGCGAGATAGGATCAGCTGGATTAGCATGAGACTCGATGTAGACAGTTTTAAAAGTAAGAGATGTAGACATGAGGATGAGATGTGTGCGACGGACAGCGAGATTCAAGTAGATATTCCCGCTGCGGCCTTTATCAAGAGCGCCGATGGTGACTTGATTGTCAGAGTGCACGAGTAAGTGGGCGTCCCGATGGCCTCGAGACTCTAAGAAAAGAGCAAGGAGCTCGATAGCAACGGTTTCGAGCCAGCAAATATCACGGCCCTCGATCTTCCAAGAAGATGAGAGCTGGAAAGCTGCCCATTCGCCGTTGATGATAATACCGATGCCCCACGACGTGGAGGCATCAACGTAAAGCCCAAGATCTGATAGAGGGCCAAGGGGAGACTGGTGGCTACCACTTTTATGATTAATCTATGACAACTGTCCAAGAGGCAATGTGTATACTGCCACAGGTTTTATGAAAGGCATCTCATTAGGATTGCCCATCTATTTCATTCAATTTATCACTGGAATCTTTCATAAGATATAGGCAAGGATAATGAGATATCATGAAGATATTTCATTAAGCTCTTTGGCCCTTTCATTGCCATTTCATAGACTTTTCATTGGGATATTTCATTAGGCTCCTTCGCTTTTTCATTACCATTTCTTAGATTTTTCATTAGGATATTTCATTAGGCTCCTTCGCTTTTTCATTGCCATTTCTTAGAATTTTCATTAGGATATTTCATTAGGCTCCTTCGCTTTTTCATTGCCATTTCTTAGAATTTTCATTAGGATATTTCATTAGGCTCCTTCGCTTTTTCATTGCCATTTCTTAGAATTTTCATTAGGATATTTCATTAGGCTCCCTCGCTTTTTCATTACCATTTCTTAGAATACTCATTAGGATATTTCATTAGGCTCCTTCGCTTTTTCATTACCATTTCTTAGAATCCTCATTAGGATATTTCATTAGGCTCCCTCGCTTTTTCATTACCATTTCTTAGAATTCTCATTAGGATATTTCATTAGGCTCCTTCACTTTTTCATTACCATTTCTTAGAATCCTCATTAGGATATTTCATTAGGCTCCTTCACTTTTTCATTACCATTTCTTAGAATTTTCATTAGGACATTTCATTAGGCTCCTTTGCCTTTTCATTACCATTTCTCATAAGGATATTTCATTAGGTATTTGGCCCTTTCATTACCATTTCTTATGGTTTTCAGTAGGATATTTCATTCAGCTCCTTGACTCTTTCATTACCATTTCATGGAATTCTCATTAGAATATTTCATTAGGCTCCTTGGCGCTTTCATTAGATTTTCTTAGAATTTTCATTGGGATATTTCATTCAGCTCCTTGACTCTTTCATTACCATTTCATGGAATTCTCATTAGAATATTTCATTAGGCTTCTTGGTGCTTTCATTAGGATATTTCATTGAGCACCTTGACGATTTCATTACTTCTCATTAGGCTTCCTGGCACTTTCATTCCCAAAACTAGATAATAATGATGATATGTATCACATGGGTTGTTGGGAGGGTGATCACATGACCAATTTCCTAAAATGGTCAAAAAACGAAAGTTGTAGCCCTACACTGTAGCTTCCTGAATCGGTTTGAATTATGTTGTGAAGTGCTCCCATTGTGAAGATATGATGTAAAAGATTCTTCCAAGTGCTGTGTTTTTTTTTGTTTTTTGCATTTTTCTCCATGAAAACAAAACCAAATAACATGATTCCAACACACCCAGAAAGCTAAATGAACAGGCAACAAATATTGTATCGTGGGAAAAATGACCAAAAAAGGAAGGTGCATTCCCTGAAAGAGCAATTGACACTGACAGACTACAAGAGTCAGATATAGACTACCAGGTTTGCTGATAGACTACAAAAAGTTGGACATAGGCTACAAATGTCAGACATAGA